GAACAACGATTTGTCTACAAAAGCGGTTCTATCATTATATAAAACACAAAATTTAATTACAAACCTCAAATTGTGAGGTGTCCAGGCGTTTAAACGCGTCGTTCAAGAATGAAAATAGTAAAGGCTTCAACAGTACAAGGACAGCCGATAGCTGTATCGAAATTGGACAACTGTTTATGAACAATCGAAACTCCAACCAAGAGCAAACGATATGGGAACTGTTGCGTTTAAACAAATCCACAACTGTGGATAACCGTTGCAGTAATTAAAGTACAGTGATTATAATGACTAATACAATGATAAGTACAATAAACATTATAAATATATGTGAACGTTTCCGAATGTTACAGTACAACTTGCGTTACAATGTAAATGTGAAAATTGTTATATCTAGTAGGTTGAACGCTATATTCAGATCCTAAGCTATTCTGATAACCCCAGGCTAGAACTATTCAACGACTTGAAGACCAGAGAGAAGACACGAGTATGAGAGAAGTACTTTACTACAAGGTTCATTTATGTACAGAAAAACAGGGGTTTTATAGTAATTAAAAGACCTTGAGTTTCCATAGTAGCAGTATGTTAAACAGCCAATCAGGACGTCGTTATTTTAGTAGTATAGCTTCTAACTAATCGCTGATTGGTTGGGCTCTTCATGAGCCTCTGGAGGCTCTGATAGAGTTTACTGTAAGCCGACTTAACAGTTACAGTACAACTCGCGTTACAATGTAAATGTGACAATTGTTAAGGATACAACTGCTTACTGAATATAAATAAGTAGTATAAAACAATAAACAAAAAAGTGTAAGGAGAGTGAGTGGGAACAATGTAAGACAAACTAAAAAGTTGTATATCATATTTCCCTAAATTAACAACAACACACAAATCAATACATGTACATTAAATTTAGAACATGAATGAAAGAAAGTCTATTACAGTGTTTGCAACAATAGTAAGTTTTTACTACTACAAAAACAACAACTAATACTACTACTACTGCCACTACTACTACACTACTACTACTACTACTACTGCCACTACTACTACTACTACTACTGCCACTACTACTACTACTACTGCCACTACTACTACTACTCACTTGATTATGTGAATGAATAATTTGAATTGGATCAAATTGAATGGTAGTTGTTGTTCTATGATTAGATAGATAGATAGATAGATAGATAGATAAATGGTGATGAATAATGAATTGAGTTGAATTTGATGGTGTTGTTGTTTTGGTGTGCAGTTGGCGGACATGCATGTTAGTTGAGTTTGATTAGTGAGTGTGAATAATGTATAAGCGAAGCAGAATGCTGAATGGTTGATTGATGCATGATTGAGTGAAAGTTAGAATATGTATTTTGAGATGTATGGCAGCGGGTATTAGTGGCTGATTGGCCTAGAGATTTGGCGTTCGGACACATGACACCGTAGGTTATGGGTTCGAATCCTCTCTGACAACAGCATTGCACAATTTTCACTCATCATACATACTACTGATGATGATATCAGTAGCACACCACAAAACACTCATCGTTCTTTTGTATGCTAAACACGCCATTATATCATACATTGTTCCCTAATTCAACAAAATTACCTCCTTAAACACATAAACACATAAATATTGGTACAAGGGGGCACCAGATATATATGCAAAACAGAAATCTCATTTGACTTGTGTGAGAGCCGTAATACTGTCCAGGTGCCCAAACCGAAACAGGTGGTTTTCTTAGGGGGCCACACCCGAAGCAACACTTTAACCTTAAGATCTGATCCACAAGGCAGTGCAGGAGCATCGTGAGCAGATGCAGTCCCATGGTAGCCGGTGACCAACCATTGATTCATACGCCATTTGTTCCCTCAGCAGGATACTGGAGCCAGTCCATGTGCACCACTGGTTTGGAATGAGGGTTTTCCAACTCCCCTAGGTGAACATACCGTGAACATTCCCCCAACCCGGTTAAAGCACCGTACATTGGCTTTTCGTCCTCTCAATTTGATAAACAACAATAATGCCACTGTGAGATGGCAGTGAGTAGGACTTCCCTGACAGAGGCTATATACGCGTGGCCATGTGAGAGCATTTGGAGAAGGAGAGCGGACTCTCCCCACTCTCAGCCGTACCAGAGCTGACTATCATTTATTGATGGATGAAACAACCCGATTTAGGATAACAGGTCTCGGATTTCAAGGCGCAAATTTCACCCACTTGTTTGTCTAAATATCATTTGACCATTCTAACTGGTGTGTGTGTGTGTGTGGATGTGGATGTCTGTGAGTTTGTGATGAAAACCATAAATGTGAATGGTAAACCTGACAACATCAACTGTAAATCATACTCTTTATTCTATTCTTCACACTTCTTTATAAGCCTTATTTAGCCGTAGTAAGTAGGTGGACATTGTTCTCATGGTCACTTTGACCTCGTCACTCAAAACTTGGTCGTCCACGAATTATGGCCTTCAAAATCTTCTCGTCTCCAACTACATAGCAGCAGTTTTACAATTCAAAAAGACATCCATCCTAACATCTGCTGCTATTCAATCATCACTCAATATGAATTATGTTCTGATCATGAATATGTTGGAATTGTTCATTTGAAGAAATGACCAAATTACTTTTATTGTTGATCAGTCTATCGATGCGTCCAAGTGACCTGACTGAGATACGCACAAAATCGAAGTTCCAAGAACAACGATTTGTCTACAAAAGCGGTTCTATCATTATATAAAACACAAAATTTAATTACAAACCTCAAATTGTGAGGTGTCCAGGCGTTTAAACGCGTCGTTCAAGAATGAAAATAGTAAAGGCTTCAACAGTACAAGGACAGCCGATAGCTGTATCGAAATTGGACAACTGTTTATGAACAATCGAAACTCCAACCAAGAGCAAACGATATGGGAACTGTTGCGTTTAAACAAATCCACAACTGTGGATAACCGTTGCAGTAATTAAAGTACAGTGATTATAATGACTAATACAATGATAAGTACAATAAACATTATAAATATATGTGAACGTTTCCGAATGTTACAGTACAACTTGCGTTACAATGTAAATGTGAAAATTGTTATATCTAGTAGGTTGAACGCTATATTCAGATCCTAAGCTATTCTGATAACCCCAGGCTAGAACTATTCAACGACTTGAAGACCAGAGAGAAGACACGAGTATGAGAGAAGTACTTTACTACAAGGTTCATTTATGTACAGAAAAACAGGGGTTTTATAGTAATTAAAAGACCTTGAGTTTCCATAGTAGCAGTATGTTAAACAGCCAATCAGGACGTCGTTATTTTAGTAGTATAGCTTCTAACTAATCGCTGATTGGTTGGGCTCTTCATGAGCCTCTGGAGGCTCTGATAGAGTTTACTGTAAGCCGACTTAACAGTTACAGTACAAATCGCGTTACAATGTAAATGTGACAATTGTTAAGGATACAACTGCTTACTGAATATAAATAAGTAGTATAAAACAATAAACAAAAAAGTGTAAGGAGAGTGAGTGAGAACAATGTAAGACAAACTAAAAAGTTGTATATCATATTTCCCTAAATTAACAACAACACACAAATCAATACATGTACATTAAATTTAGAACATGAATGAAAGAAAGTCTATTACAGTGTTTGCAACAATAGTAAGTTTTTACTACAACAACAACAACAACTATTACTACTACTACTGCCACTACTACTACTATCACTACTACTACTACTACTACTGCCACTACTACTACTACTACTACTGCCACTACTACTACTACTACTGCCACTACTACTACTACTCACTTGATTATGTGAATGAATAATTTGAATTGGATCAAATTGAATGGTAGTTGTTGTTCTATGATTAGATAGATAGATAGATAGATAGATAGATAGATAAATGGTGATGAATAATGAATTGAGTTGAATTTGATGGTGTTGTTGTTTTGGTGTGCAGTTGGCGGACATGCATGTTAGTTGAGTTTGATTAGTGAGTGTGAATAATGTATAAGCGAAGCAGAATGCTGAATGGTTGATTGATGCATGATTGAGTGAAAGTTAGAATATGTATTTTGAGATGTATGGCAGCGGGTATTAGTGGCTGATTGGCCTAGGGATTTGGCGTTCGGACACATGACACCGTAGGTTATGGGTTCGAATCCTCTCTGACAACAGCATTGCACAATTTTCATTCATCATACATACTACTGATGATGATATCAGTAGCACACCACAAAACACTCATCGTTCTTTCGTATGCTAAACACGCTATTATATCATACATTGTTCCCTAATTCAACAAAATTACCTCCTTAAACACATAAACACATAAATATTGGTACAAGGGGGCACCAGATATATATGCAAAACAGAAATCTCATTTGACTTGTGTGAGAGCCGTAATACTGTCCAGGTGCCCAAACCGAAACAGGTGGTTTTCTTAGGGGGCCACACCCGAAGCAACACTTTAACCTTAAGATCTGATCCACAAGGCAGTGCAGGAGCATCGTGAGCAGATGCAGTCCCATGGTAGCCGGTGACCAACCATTGATTCATACGCCATTTGTTCCCTCAGCAGGATACTGGAGCCAGTCCATGTGCACCACTGGTTTGGAATGAGGGTTTTCCAACTCCCCTAGGTGAACATACCGTGAACATTCCCCCAACCCGGTTACTTCAATGGTAGTAAAAATATATTTCATTTAAAGTTACGATGAGAAAGATTTAATTCGTAGAAAGAAATATATGAAGTAATTTTAATCTCACAGTTTATAGTGCAGACAAATAGTGTATACACCTTTCGACATTGTGATGAATTGTGAACTACGTCCAGCCATTGATTACATTAGTCGCGCGGACTCCAATCACATAGTCTGTATATACTAACATGACTTAGACCAGAAGTTAGTGATTTCAAGGATTGATGCCACGTTCTTATCAAAATGCAATTACATAATCTTCAATAATCAATACTTTGTTCTTTGTACACTTTTCTTTTTTTTGAACAGACCAATACAAGAATTGAAAGATGCTAAATTACGTAATAAAAGTGCACAAACATTTGTTGAACTTCAAAAGAATATTGAAGTAAAATTAAATATTGATCATTTAGGATTTGATAAATATGCATATAAAGTAAGCTAAAATTTGAATGGGTATTTATCTCTATCAAAACAATAGTCTCTATAATTAAGTTTAATAATGATTCACTCAGCTCATAAGTGGTTAGCGTTTTTTAGCGAATTGGTTTTCTACGGGATGAGGTCGCTAACCCCATGCCCAACCCTCCTCCTTTACCCGGGCTTGGGACCTGCAGAAACATGGAGAAGTACGAAAGCTATCATCCAGAAGATACAGGTGCTTATTAACAGTTGTCTACGTAAAATATTTAACATTCACTGATCAGACACTATCGGCAACAACCTACTATGGAAGAGAACAAACCAGATTCCAACGGATGAATAAATCAGGAAGAAGCGCTGGAAGTGAATAGAACACACTTTGAGGGAATCACCCAACTGCATCACAAGACAAGCCCTCACATGGAATTCTGAAGGTCAAAAGAGAACAGGAATACCAAAGAACGCATTACGCCGAGCTAGGTGATCTGCGAAGTCTAAATCGTCTAGATGTATCAAACCTGTCCATTTTATTCCATACTTCCTATCAGATGTCGAGGTCTTCATAATCCAGCCGAGAACCAGAAGAAAGAGAAAGGAGGAAAGTAGGCAACCTTTTCTAACTCCGTTCCACATTTTGAATGCGTCTGTCAACTATCCTTTATGCACCACTTTACAGTGTAGTCCGTCGTATAAATTCTGGATGATATTTTCTCAGTTACACCAAAGTGTCGAAGAAGTTTCCATAATATTCTCCTATCCACACTATCTAACGCTTTCTGATAATCAATGAAGTTGATGTATAGCGACGAATCCCACTCAACTGATTGATCAACGATGATCTGTAGTGTCGCAATTTGGCCTGTGCACAACCGATCGATACGCGGTCCAGTCTGTTGATCTGGAAGCTGGACGTCTACTCAATCTTTCATTCGGTTCAACAACACTCTGTAGAAACTTTTTCTGGTACTGACGGCAGTGTGATGCCTCTGTAGTTTCCACATTCATTCAGATCTCCTATATTTTGCATCTTGATGAGTTATCCTTCATTTTAATCTGTCAGTTCTTGTTCTTCCGCCCAAATCTTTCTAAAATAGAACGTGGGGCATGTTTGCGGCCACTTCTATGTCTCACTTGAGTGCCTCGGCTGGTATATTGTCAGGTCGTTGGTGGGGTGACATCGATAGAAAGATCTATGTGCGCCGTTTCGATATCTGATGGATTCAATGGAGCTGGTCTATTCAAGAGTTCCTCGAATTAATCCACCCATCTGTTCTTCTGTCCTCGAATTACAGTGATTGATTTGCCCTCTTTGTCCTTGACGGGTCTCTCTGGTTTGCTATATTTCTCTACCAGTTTCTCTGTTGTGTCATTCAGATGTTTAATATTTCCTTCTCTTGCAGCTTTTTCCGCCGTCGTTGTTAGTTCTCCCATGTATTTCTGCTTGTCCGCTTCAATGGTCTCTTTCATTTGCTTGTTTGCTTCTGCGTAGTCTGCTTGTGCATTGACTTTCTCTAATCGTCTTCCACTGTTGTCAATTGCTGCCTTCTTATTCTTTCTTTCTTCAATCTTGTCCAGAATTCCCATAGAGATCCATTCCTTATGATGATGCTCCTCACGACCCAGAACCTCCTTCTTTCAATAGATCCTGTAGAGCTTGCAACCTGTTGTTGAGTGTTATCTTGAATTCGTTGATTTTGTTGGTATCTCGAAGGAAGGCTGTATTGAACCTTTGTAATGTTGTTTGTCCAGTTGTCCACTGTTTCTTTAGCTTCAATTTCATCTTGGTCACAATCAGCTAGTGGTGTTCTGAAGCTTTGTCAGTTCCTCTCCTGGTTCTCACACCTTCCATTGACCTTCTAAATTTTTCAGTGATGTAAGCATGATTTATCTAATTCGCTATAGCGTGATCTGTTGAGGAAATATTGTGCCGTCTATAATCAATTTGTTGAATGCACATAAATTTCCGAATCTATCTCCGTCCTCTTTTCTTCTTCCCAGTCAGTCCATATCGTCCCATGATATCTTCATAACCGTTATTGTTCATTCTGACCTTTTTGTTTAATTCTCCCGTCAGGATGGTCAGGTTCTTTGCTGAACAATTCTTCTAGATCAACTGTAGTCTCTCATAGAACTGATCTTTATCATCTTCACTCCTATAGTTGATGACTTCATAATACTGGATAACATTCTTTGTGATCCCCTCTTTCTTCACTTTAAGTCACCGAGATTCGGTGAACCAATGTTACTACTTATTAATTGAAAATAATTCTATCATTTCATTTCTTATATCAATATTCATTTACTTATTTTACAAATCAAAATAGATCAATCGTGAAAAATATCTTACCCATGATGCAGTGAAAATACTTACTTTACCAAGTAAATATCGTACAGAATCAATGATTCATTCAGCAACTGTATCTGTGATTGCAACAACAGAAGCTTTCAGTGAATTTCCAATTGCTATGCAGAAAGCAATTATTGGAAAAGCATGGTATGAAAAGTATGTTCATCATTAATTTCTTAAATATATATGTTAGTGATTATTGGAAAATATTTTTATATAGTTGAGATCATGAGTCAGTCGAAGCTAGACCGACATGGAAAACCTGGAAGCACTGGACGGCCGTTTCGTTCCATTGTGTGACTCCTTAGTAGTGTACATCCACGATCCCGCCTCATGGAATTCAAACCCAGGACTTATCAGTCTCGAACCAGAGAACTTAGCCGATAGCGCGAGACTGATAGGTCCTGGGTTAGAATCCAGCGACGCGGGATCGTGGATGCGCACTGCCACTGAGGAGTCCCACAATAGGACGAAACGGCCGTCCAGTGCTTCCAGGATTTTTTATGGTGGTCTAGCTTCAATTGATTCATGATCATAACTATAAAAAATTACTAAAATCTCCACAAAACCCCTCTTGTGAAAATATCTTTGTTGAATAGTTGTCGGCCGGAATCGGTCAATAGGAGGAACTGGTCGATCAAAGTTTTGCATTGATTAAAATTGACATGTTTGATCTATCTATATTCTTTAGGAAAGTGATGACCTCCCTAGGGGTTGAACACACTTCACTTAATATCATAATCAGGAACGTAACTATTGAGATATCTGGGTCTCATTCGACCTCTCATAAATCTGATATATTTATGCTGACTGGTTAGTGGGTGGCAACTGATGTCCGTAACCACTGTCGATTTAGTCCTTGTATAGGGTATCATGAAAATGACTTAGTTTTAAGGTGATAACAAATAAGATAGGTCACAACATTACCAATGAAGCTGTAATTCTACTGGTCTCATCAGTATATCATTGATGGTTGATAGGATCTATGAAATAATTCTTCATTTACCTTCCATATTTAGTTTTGTTATTCAACTCAATAATCCCAACAACCCTATACTGATGAAATATATCCCTTAAACTTAGAAGAAATTTATGTTCTCCATTGAGACTTGAACAATCATCATCTGGTCGACAGCTAGAGTGACAATTGGTCACAGTATTTCATCTACCTTATTCTTTAATGACTGTCGTAGAGCGGTAGGCGAGAAGGCAAAAGTGGGTATAACCAGAAGGACCTCATGGCGGAATTATGAAGTTATGTGAATATCATACGTTCAATATTTTATCTACAAAATGACCATCAGTTGTTTCAGACTTTGTTGTTCCTTCATTTCCATATTAATCACCATCTATTATCGTTCTTCTCTATTCATTCTTCTTAACTTTCTACTGCTAGGCACTCCACTTTCGATTGATGTTATATACTACTCATATCCGTCGATATAAGTAGCACACATTACAGTAGTGTAATTCTTTTTGCTGTTGCATTATTCAATTGGCTTTCTCTCTATTCTTTTTCAAGCATCATTTTTCAAAGAGCCATATAACATTAACTTTAAAAAGTATAATTTTCTTTGAATATTTTCCTCAAAATACATTCTACAACTATGGTAAGCAAAGATGGATAGTGGATAGCAGTGGAATGCAGGACACGCGTTTCGTCCTATTTTTGGACTCGTCAGTTGAATGTACCTGCATCTAAAACATGATCTTCACTCTGGGACTCGAACCCAGTACCTCTCACTTCATACACCATCGCGTTATCCTGAGTCCTGATAGCCACTTGCTTGTGCAATGGGGCACTGGACATTCTACAACTATTTCGCATTATTTAGCTGAATGAATAAAATGTATTCTCTGGATTAAGTACACACGGATTCTATCAATTGAATTGATTTTTGTTTTTCAGATATGAAGCTAGACGAATGATCATTCGACAAGGTCAACCACCATTGAATTTCTATTTTATCATTTCAGGTTCTGGTAAGTTTTATCAAATATATATTCAAACATAATATCCAAGATCTGGATCATTAACAAATTAATTAATACACAATCATTATAAGCAAAGATGGATAATGGATAGCAGTGGAATCCAGGATGTGTGTTTCGTCCTATTTGGGACTCGTCAGCTGGATGTACCTGCATCTCAGAGTTGATTTTCATTCTGAGACTCTAACCCAGTACCTTTCGCTTCAAATGCTATTGTGTTATCCACTTAGTTACTGATTCCTGGTAGCTAACGAGTCCAAAGTTATTTCCGTATTATGACCATCAAAACTTTGATGTATAGAGGTAATATAACTTTATAAATTTCCTTCCTTATTACATGCAGTATGTTGACCAGTGATTTGAAGTACTAATGACAAACTGTACCCGCTGGAGTTAAATTTTGTCGGTAATTAGAGTGTTATTGCTGATGCTAATGAACGACGATCAAAAGTGTTATGAATCTTTGTTCTCAAAGTATCATTTTGATTGTGAAACATGAATGGTGCCGTATTTTCTCTGGCGATATTCTGAATTCTTTAAAGATGTTACCCCGAAGCTAAAGAAAAAGGGCGATAATCATCGAAAAAAATATTATACTTGAACTTAGGCACAATTAGAGAAAGATGGGACTTCTAGATTGGTGGTCTGGAGCAAGAAAACTATTTCAAGTTTGGCTGTGTTGTAATAGGTCAAAGATAATTGACGAGGTGCCTCCAGTTAGTAGAGTTGATTGAAACCAACAAGGTCAACATTAGTACTAAATGCTTACAAAACTATTTATTTTAAAAGGTTATTGCACAATACAGATGGATACTCTTTTCGCAATAGTTTTCTAGTGTATTTATATTTGAAAGTGTGAGCCAATTGAAGCTAGACCACCAGGGAAAACCTGGAAGCACTGGACGGCCGTTTTGTCCTGTTGTGGGACTTCGAGGTTTTCCCTGGTGGTCTAGCTTCAATTGACTCACGCTTTCAACTATGAAAATGCTAAATCTCCACAACCCTCTTTTTTGTTATTTATATGACAGAAATTCTTCAGTTGAAGTTAGGTCAAGACTACAACTATTTTCATGTATAACATCCATAAAACCTTTCCTTCAGTCTTTATCAGTTCACAATTCATGTATTCACCCTTTTCCTCTCTTAAACTTTTAGTGGTTGTTAGTGTATCAAGAAAAAATAAACAAACAGGAGAACCTTATGAAGAGACTGTAGCTTTTTTAAAAGCTGGACAAAGCTTTGGAGTAAGTAGTTCACTCATATGCATATAATGCGATGCATATAGCAATTAGCAAATACATGAAACGTTACTTTATACATCTTTACTTACTTACTTACTTACTTACTTACGCCTGTCACCCCTCATGGAGTAGCATAGGCCGCTCACCAGCATTCTCCATCCAACTCTGTCCTGGTCAATCCTTTCCAGTTTATTCCAGTTGTTATTCATCCTTTTCATATCTAAAGTATATAAATCTTATCCTGTAAAATGTATTCCTCATTTGTCGTATTGCATTTATCCTACCTATGTTCAACACATCCTTTGAAATTCTCAGAGGTCGAAAAATTCCGCTGCATTGTCGCTTAACGTTTAAACGTCTTTATATCGTCCCAAAGTTACCACTTAGACGACTTTTTACATTTCCAGTTGATGTTCATCACTCATTAACTTCAACTGAATGGTATTGTTTACAAATACAGATGTGTACAGAAACCATGGTGAAGTTCATATATGTAGAGAATGAGACAACTATTGGTTATAATCATTGAGCTAATATTGAGAATTGATTAAGGTTAGAGTATTAGATTACAACTTCATGATTCACAGTTTAAGTGTTAAGATGGTAATAATACTTAGGTCGTCATTAGTAGTATATAACACCAATCAGGAATAAAATTCCTAGCAGCAGAAGGTCGAGAAGATCGAAGAGAAAAAAAAACGGGAACATAAAAAGATTAGCATGAAAATGCAAGAACAATGTAGTCTGAGACGATCGATTAACATGTTACAAATGACGAATTTATTGTATGGTTCTCAGATTTCGAGATGATGGAAAAGATTTGTAGCTCAGGTGGATCATTTTAATGGAGTTTTGTTCTCTGAGCTAGATGATTTGGTCGTGAAGTTTTCATCGTTCTTCTGAATGATATCATCAGATTTCACTAAGAGATTCTGTAATTTTTGTATTTAGATACTTTTGATTGTCCCCATTAGTATTCTCGTTCAGTACACTAACACCGAAGCCATAAGGCATCGTATTTGATCTGTTTTGCAATATCATCAATGTGTATTATTGAGTATTCTTTAGCTGATAGTATTTCATAATGAAAACAACTTATAAATTATTTATCAGAAGGGGTTTTTGTGTATATTATAGTAATTTTAATAGTTGAGATCATCAATCAATTGAAGCTAGACCACCATGGAAATTCTGGAAGCACTGAACGTCCATTTTGTCATATTGTAAGACTCCTGAGCAGTGCGCATCCACAATCCCGCCACGCCAGATTCAAATCCAGGACCTATCAGTCTCATGAGCGAACGCTTAACCTCTAGAATCACTGAGTCGGTATCCAATGTTGTTAATGTCTGACTTCAACTAATCCATAAAATTGAGCGACACATCCACAATTGTCTTCAATGAGTTCCTATCTCACAACAGACATAATTGAACTCCACTGGTCACTGCTTCTCACTGGAACTCCAAGATATACCTCATTAGAAGTTAAGCGTTCGAGCACGAGACCTATAGGTCCCGAGTTCGAATCTCGCGGGGTGGAGTCGTGGATGTGCACTATTGAGGAGTCCCCAAATTTTATGTAACTATCATCTCTTACTATTATCCTTATTCATTTTACACAGGAATTAGCTTTAATTTATGGTGGTAAACGTAGTGCAACAATTATATGTAAAACACCAGTTGAATTATTAGTTATGTCTAATAATGAATTTAATCAAATCTTTATGCAAAATACCCAAAATCATGAAGCTGATCATATAACATTTTTACGTACTATACAATTCATACCAAAACAAGTTGTCAATCATTTAAATGGAGTGGATAGTACCATTTTATTATTTACATTTTTTCGGTAAGTTACTTCCTCAAAAAAAAAATTTGGGGGGGGGAGGGGAGGGGCAAGGGTTTAAATACATATATATATATATACATATATAATTACTGATTTATGCTTGTTACTTCACATGAAGGAGTATAGGCTGTTCACCAGCATTCTTCATCCAACTCTATTCTAGACAATTGTTTCCTGTTGTTTTCAGTTGTTATTCATACTTTTCATGTCTATTTCCAATTCTAACCGTAATGTGTTCCCTAGTTTTTTTTCTTTTCTGGTTCCCTTCAGGATTCGAAGTTAGCTCTTGCTCCGTGATGCAGTTTGATGATTTCCTCAGTTTATATCTCATCCACTTCCAACGTCTTTTCCTAATTTCTTCTTTATTTGAAAGCTCGTTGGTTCTCTTTCGCAGTAAGCATATGTTTCAGCCTGTGGCCTCATGCCCCATTAGTATATGATGTAATAGTACAATGACCTATTGACCGGAACAATGACGCATAAACCCGTACGAGCGGCCTAGGGTCCTTACCGATCATTGTTCTTGTCTAGCTTTACCTGTTGAGTCCAAAACATAAATCTCACCCTCCTCTATATGAATCATATTTTTCAAACATACTTGGTTTATATACAAACCAAGAAGACCGTATCACACCATAAAATAGAAAATGCACATTTGTACGAGATCTAACGAAAAGTAGCTGTGAATGTGGGAGACTGGACATAACTCAAGAACGGTAAATCGTATAATAATAATTCATGGGTCAAAATGAAGCTTATAATAAGATGAATATAGATATACATAATCTAATTAGTGAATAGTCGTACAATAATAATAATATATAGAATAATCGTCCATCAATAGATCCCGAAAGTTACCCGTACTTATTTCTTCATTAGGATATAACAGAAACAATCTGTACAGAATACACATGCGTTAAAAAGAGACTGATCCATTACAGTTCTTAATATTAATAATAGAAAGATTCATACAATCAAAGCTAATGAATATTTACTAAAGAATTGATTTATAATAATTTGATATTGTGGTAATTGTCAGTTACCATTTACCTTACTAATTGTTGTTTTATGTTATATTGTTTGTAAATTAGAAATCAATTTTGTATCGAAATTCTTCTAATTAAGTACCAATTACATACTTACATACTTACTCCTGTTACTCCCAATCCAACATAGGCCGTCGACCAGTATTCTACAACTTACTCTGTCCTGGGCCTTCCTTTCTAGTTCTATCCAATTGTTGTTCATTCTTCTCATGTCTGCCTCCATTTCTCGGCATAATGTGTTCTTTGGTCTTCCTCTTCTCCTGTGACCTTCAGGATTCCATGTGAGGGCTTATCTTGTGACGCATTTATGTGATCTCCTCAGTGTATATCTTATCCACTTCCAGCGTTTCTTTCTGATTTCTTCCTCCACTGAAATCATGCTGTGATAACATAATTTGTTTTACTGCTTTGTATGAGGTCACAATATGAACTACTGATCAATCCGAAACAATGTTCAAACGACTGTTCATTTCTTGTAGGTACTTTTGAAGATAATCTGGCGGCATAGTTTACAACGGGAACCTTTTTTATTCATAAAATAGCCTCATAAACCACCTATCTATATTTTACTTTAGTTTATTCTTGCGGGGTTCTATATCTATGTGTTTCTCATATTTGTTGCCTTATTTACAGACGTAATGTAACCATCTGTATTGATAGTAATCAAAGTAATTGGATTTATATTGTTAAAACAGGACAATGTCGAATTCTTAAAGATGTTGAATTAAAACCGAAACATTTAAAGTCAACAATTAAAACTCATAGACCTGGAACTGACTTACAGTATTACTTTGAATCGTCCGATCACAATGCGAAACCAAAAGTAAGTTAGCTATAAGAAGCCAGTTAAGCCAGTTAAATGTATTCCTGAATTTATGTAGTATCCCCTTGTTGATTAGCAAGTTTGACATGAATCTATTCTTAATATGAATGTCAGTAACACTAAGATATGGATTATATCCAGTGGATGGGTACTAATTATGAGTGAATATGTGTCAGTGATTTCGTTGCAAGCCATAATTCCAATTACGCTAAAATTTATTAAATCCTTTCTGGTTTCTGAATTCATTTCTCTCAACTTCACTTTTTCGTATGTATGGGTATACTACTTAATAATTGTCAGTAGTTTAATTGATTTTACATAATTTTAATAGTATGTCTGTTATGTTTCTTTGTTGTAATGGTGATGAAGTATTGTTTGTGGGGAATGGCGCATCATCTCAGTAAACTAGAGTAATTAAAAGTGAAAATAAGCAACCCTTACTAACATAACCCAACATATATATTTCACATGCAAGATAATTTCTTCTCGCTTCCCTCATTTCGTTTTCTCTAAGCAAGCTACCCAGTGAGTTGTTTGCTTTGAATAGGTTGCTGAATCTTGAAACTCTGAGATTATTCTATTTTTGTTTGTCTATAGCTTCGTTGACTAATTTGACCATGTTTGATTGTTTTATAGTTCGCCTTAAAACCTTGTTGTTATTCACTAACGTCAAAGAGGTAATCTCTCGCTGACTGTCCTTTTGACTCAATGATTGATTCCTGAATACATGACAATTTGAGGTTTGTGATTGTTCAGTATTGATTCTACTTTGTATGATAGTAACATATTCCTATCTTTTGATCATTATGCTTCACATTCATCTCGAGTGCTGTCTTAAAATCATTGAAAAGATAATATAGACATATCAGAATTAATTAGTTCCATGATGCACATTGTTAATCTAGTACAATTTTTCAGTTAAAAGGATCTGAGTCTCTCTACAATGCATTTCCTAACTGGATTATTTGAAAAAATGTACAACCATCTGTAACAGAAATCAATACGGACTGTGGTTATTTAAAATAATTCATAGAAAAATTAACGGTATGAAACATTTTGAATCTGTATAAGTGTGGTGTTGTCTACTTATATCCATATAAGTAGTATATGGCGTGGGTCAGAAATAGAATGTATTTTGGCAGAAGACCGATGAGGAAAGAACTGAAATGAAGCGCAATCGTTTGGAAAATGCATGAGCAATGGAATTAGAGAAGAAACAGTGAAGATTGAAACAATTGGTTATTAATTTGCAAATTGACTGTTCATTGTTTGGTTATCAGAATTTACCGAGATAGTCTGTAATGTTTGCTTAAATACATTCGATTGTCCCCAACCAGTGTTTTGTTCGCTACATAAGCACTTTATTTAGAATATAAAGATTAACATGAACCTGAAAATTTACGTTTTTAATTCACACTTTGTAAGTCTTCTCGAAAGAGTGATCTATAACTAGAACCAGTGTTTCCAGGTTTTCGATGGTGGTCTAGCTTCGATTGACTCATGATCTCAACTCTATAAAATTACCAAAATCTCCATCAAACCCCTTCTGATAATGATCATGTGCTCACTGGTGACTGGCTCCATGAGTTATTTCCTAAAGTTCTAGTAACCAGTGGAGTTCAAACAGGTCTGTTGGGAGATATCAACTCGCTGATGATATTGGTGAATGGTTGCTCAATTTCGTGGATCGGTCGAAGTTAGATATTAACACCGTTGGATACCGGCTCAGTGGTCTATCGGTTAGGTGTTCTGGCGCGAGACTGGTAGGTCCTGGGTTCGAATCTCACGAGTGTGGGATCGTGGATGCGCACTACTGAGGAGTCCCGTAATAGGAGGAAACGGCCGTGCAGTGTTTCCAGGTTTTCGATGATGGTCTAGCTTCGATTGACTCATTATCTCAACTCTATAGAACAAAATAGCTTATATTAATTCCATTGTATGTAATTTCGAATGTATCTTTGAAATTCTAAAAATTGTAGATATCAGTTTGTTTGTGTGAATCATAAATGATTCAAAAGATTCTATATGGAATTTTCCATTGATTGTTGGACTCTCTTACAGCTGATTGAAATTTAACTCTTCATTGTGCTTTCTTCAAATCATCTAACCTGAATAATCGTTTATAATCTCAACCTTAGTTATTACTAGTGTCTTATAACTAGGCTTACAGTGAGTGTATCTATATGGTAATCGTCCATTACACTATCAGTTACTTTATGGGTAAGGATAACTACTCCCTTTTTCAATGTTCAAAAATGTGTAACGTCTAGCATTTTCGAGCAATTTCTCGTTTACCTAATGGATAAGTGCCTACAAATTAAAGCACGAACAGCACCTAGGATTTCATCCCAGTTATCCATTGTTATCACCGTATATCTTCTATGAAGGATTCACTGGAAGACAAAAGCTATGGGTTGAAATGATGTCCTCAATAAAAAAATCATACTTTTACACACAATACTAACTAAATGAACGGGAAATTGCTAGAAAATGCTTGATATAGTACACAGAATATACAATGAGAGACGGATATGCTACAAATTTACAGATATATATCCTATTCATTACAATTGATTGATCATTGGATGGTGATCAATGTCATGCACGTCAAACCCATTTTAGTGCTGATCGAATGCTATCGGTCAAGTGGCAATTTGGCCAATAGTCAAGGTGGCTCGATACTGCGTGCACTATGTTGAGATAAGATGGTAGTTGGAGGTGGTCAGGGAGCATTAATTACATCAAGATTACAGGTACACCTTGCTGACGAGTGCCAACTAGAACAAAATCCGAGTGCAGGGTTTCTTGTTGACCACCTCAAACCACCATCTTATCCTATTCATTAGTTTATCATTAATCTTAAGATATCTCAGTTGTAAATATTTAGGATAGAAACAAAGAAATATACATTTTTAGTTCAAATGTCACTCCATTTTGAAAACACAATCCATATATATGTAATTGAAAGTAAGTTCAAATGAAAGTATTCGTCCAAGAAATCTCCAAACTGATAAGATTAAACAAGTTCTGTAGATATTGTATTCTTTATCAATAAACATTTACATTTGAGATTGATGTTAAGTTTCTTTCTTTTGCTAATGAAGCGTATTCATTTCGATACAGTTTTGTTTTGTGAACTGGATGGTTCAGTCGTGGAGCTTCCATCGTTCTTATAAACGACAACATCAGAACAAACTTTAGGTAGAAGTGAAGTATTCGAATTTCTCCACATATAACTTACAGCTTGTCCTGTCAACTTTGATGTTGATTGGTTCTTGTTGACCCTAAACCTATCATTGTTTACTTCGTTATTTTGATTGGATCTTCTATTGGTTTGAAATAAGCAATGATAGATTTAAGGTCAATAAGAACCAATCAACATCAAGGTGAACAGGACAAGCTGTGAATCATATGTGGAGAAATTCAAACACTTCACTTCTACCTGAAGTTTGTGCTGATGATGTCGTTCACAAGAACGATAAAAACTCCACGACCAAACCATCCAGCTCATAGAATAAAACTCCATCGAAATCATCTACCTAAGCTACAAATCTTCTCCATCTCAGAAACGTATTCACTTTACATTCTGCTTTATCAAAGGGTTTTAATTACTATGTGATTATCATGAACAATGTCTTCACTATTCTCTTTCTTTCCTTCTTCTTACCTCTTTCTCTTAGTCAAATTCTCAACATTCAACTAAGAAATTAGATAATAAGAATGTTAAAATATTCATAGAATTGAAAATATTGGAACCTAACAGTGTATTTGTAAGTTGACTTCTTTTCCTAATTCATTAACAATGTACATTAATAATTCCTGCTTATTTTCAGAAGGAATTTTTGTGGAGATTTCAGTATTTTCATGGTTAAAACCATTAGTCAATTGAAGCTAGACCACCATGGAGAACCTCGAAGCACTGGATGAACATTTCGTCCTGCCGTGGGACTCCTCAGCACTGCGCACCCACGATCCCACACTCGCGAAATTTGAATCCAGGACCTGCCAGTCTCGCGCCAGAGCGCTTAACCGATAGACCACTAAGCCGGAGTCCGATGGTGTTAATATCTAACTTCAACCAATCCACGAAGTTTGAGCAACCGTTCACCAATTGTCTTCAGTGAGTTGTTGAAATCTCCACAAAAACCTCTTCTGATTATAATCATATGCTCACTAGTGACTGACTTCAAGATACATGTCCTGGAGTTCTAGTGAGAAGCAGTGACCAGTGGAGTTCAACCACGTCTGTTGTGAGATAACAACAATCGGTGAACGGTTTCTCAAAATTCGTGGATTGGTTAAAGCTAGATGTTATGTAGTAGCGAAGACATAAGTACGGGTAACTTGCAGGACCTACTATTGGACTATTATTCTTATTGTATAACTATTCGGTAATTAGATTATCTAAGCTTTATTTTGACTTATTGATTATTACTATATGATTTACTGTCCCTATGTTATGCTCAGTTTTATTGATTATTGTCTCCCACGCTTACAGCCTCATTTGGCCTGGTTTTGTACAAATATTATTTTCTATTTTATGGTGTGGTGTGGTCTGCCTGTCTGGTATATAGATAAAGTATGTTTGAAATAAACGATTCGCATTACAGCAGCTGCTATTGATGTTTTGGACTCAAGTGGACGGGTTAGGCGGATAAGGACCAATAAGGACGCTAGGTTACTCATATTAATCGAACGTCATTGTCACAGTGTGAAGGTCGTAGAAGGCGTATTCTATTGGTGGATAATTTACGCGGATTACGTCCTTGTTAAATTCGTAAGGTCATAACGAATCAGCGACGACCTTGATCAAGTCATAACAATTGGCTACAGTCTAGGTCAAAAACATAACACTAGACATTAACACCGTTGCATGCCGGCCATGTTTTCCAAGGTGGTCTAGCTTCAATTGACTCATGATTTCAACTATTAATATCCTGCTTATTTCATTGTTGAAACTTTGTGAGTTCACTTTTAATGGTCCAAGATTTGATTTCAATTGAAAAAGAATGAATAACTATTCTATAAACATAAATCTTCCATTTAACTCCTTATATTATACCTAAGTTAATCCCGTTTGAGCGATAGCGGTAATGAGAAATTGTTATAACTTATGACCGAGTGGATGCCTTGTTAACGTATGAATGTAATAAGACCATCAATCAGAGAACAGGGAATTATCGATTGGAATAGTGACACATGAAAACCGTACGAGCAGTCTAGAGTACGTATCGGCCCTGCATCTACCTAGCCCAGTCAGTTAAGTTCAGAACAGCCTCTGTGGTATGAATCATTGTATTTCAAACATACTGAGTTTATATACCAATCAAACTGACCACATCGTACCAATAAAATAGAAAAAAACATTTGTACAAGGTTTAGCCAAATGTGGCTGTGAATAGGAGGAACAATAATTAATGGATTAGGGATAACTCAAGAATGATAAATCGCATAATAATAGTCTATAGGTCAAAATAAAGCTCATAATAAAAGGAAGATGAATGTGAATAGTTTAGTTACTTAACAATGATACAATAGAAAATATAGGCATGATATTTTTCCATAAATAATTCTAAAAGTTACCATTCACTTATTGTTATTGGGTTATAACAGAAATTAAGTACCGAAAAAATTGGATGAATTTATTTCAAACACTCGTTTGAAATGCGGAAAGATCAAATATAGTGAAGTGAGAAGGCAAACATACCAATCCCATTTGATGAAGCGTCATTCAATATTTATTACTTACTTACTTACTTACTACTTACGCCTGTTACTCCCAATGGAGCATAGGCCGCCGACCAGCTTTCTCCAACCCACTTTGTCCTGGGCCTTCTTTTCTAGTTCTTTCCAGTTCTTGTTCATTCTTCTCATGTCTGTCTCTATTTCTCGGCGTAATGTGTTCTTTGGTCTCCCTCTTCTCCTTCGACCTTCAGGATTCCATGTGAGGGCTTGTCTTGTGACGCAATCAGGTGATTTCCTCAAGGTGTGCCCAATCCACTTCCAGCGATTCCTCCTGATTTCTTCCTCCGCTGGAATATGGTTTGTTCTCTCCCACAGTAACTTGTTGCTGATAGTGTCTGGCCATCAGATCCGAAGTATCTTGCGTAGACAACTGTTAATAAACACTTGTATCTTCTGGATAATGGCTTTCGTATTTCTCCACATCTCCGCCCCATGCAGAAGAACTGTCTTGACATTTGTATTGAAAATTCTAACCTTGGTGTTGGTTGACAATTGTTTTGAGCTCCAGATGTTTTTCAGCTGTAGGTATGCTGCTCTTACTTTGCCGATCCTCTCCCTCACATCTGCATCTGATCCACCGTGTTCATCAATGATGCTGCCCAGATATGTAAAGGTTTCGACATCCTCCAAAGCTTCTCCGTCAAGTGTAATTTTATTGGTGCTTATTGTAATGTATCGGAGAGTCTTGCTTTTCCCTTTGTTTATATTGAGACCTACTGCTGCTGCGGCTGCTGCTACACTGGTCGTTTTCTCCTACATTTGTTGTTGCGTTTGTGATAGAAGAGCCAGATCATCCGCGAAGTCTAAATCATCAAGCTGCATCCTGCCTGTCCACTGTATCCCGTGATTTCCTCCAGATGTTGACGTCTTCATGATCCAGTCGATGACCAGGAGAAAGAGAAAGGTTGAGAGTAAGCAACCTTGCCTAACACCAGTCTTTACTTTAAACGAGTCGGTGAGTTGTCCTCCGTGGACGATTTGGCAGTTTAGTCCATCATAGGAGTTCCGTATGATGTTGACTCTCTTCTCAGGCACGCCGTAGTGTCGAAGAAGCCTCCATAGTGTCGTTCTGTCCACGCTATCAAATGCCTTCTCGTAGTCGATGAAGTTGATGTACAGTGATGAATTCCATTCGATTGATTGTTCCACAATGATCCGCAGAGTTGCGATTTGATCTGTGCACGATCTATCCTTACGAAATCCAGCTTGTTGATCTCGAAGTTGGGCGTCCACGGAATCCTTCATCCTATTTAACAATACTCGGTTGAAGACTTTTCCTGGTATTGAGAGGAGAGTGATGCCCCTGTAGTTGTCGCACTTGCTCAGATCGCCTTTCTTTGGTATTTTGATCATAAGTCCTTTTTTCCAGTCTGTTGGTACTTGTTCTTCGTCCCAAATCTTACTGAAGAGGATGTGGAGTATCTTGGCAGTTGCTGTCACATTTGCTTTCAGTGCCTCTGCCGGGATGTTGTCTGGTCCCGCTGCTTTGCCACTCTTGACTTGTCTAATGGCCATGCTGATCTCTTCAATTGTTGGTGGGCCAATATCGATTGGGAGGTCCGTGGGTGCTGCTTCGATGTTGGGTGGGTTCAGTGGAGCTGGTCGATTCAAGAGTTCCTTGAAGTGTTCTACCCACCTGTTTCGTTGTTCTTCAATGTCGGTGATTACTTTGCCTTCCTTGTTTTTCACTGGTCTTTCTGGTTGACGGTAATTTCCAGCAAGTTTCTTTTTTGTATCATACAGTTGTCTCATGTTTCCCTCTCTTGCAGCCTTTTCCGCTGTCATCGCTAAATCTTCCACATATTTACGTTTGTCGGTCCTGATGCTCCTCTTCACTTGCTTGTTTGCCTCTGTGTATTCGGCTTGTGCCTTGGCTTTTTCTGCTCTTGTTCGGCTGATATTGATTGCTGCCTTCTTGTTCCTCCTTGCTTCAATTTTATCCAGTGTACCAACAGTGATCCATTCCTTGTGATGGTGCTTCTTTTGGCCCAGAACCTCTTGACATGTTGAAACGATTGCCTCCTTGATACCTTTCCAGCTGCTCTCTATGGTAGTCCCCTCTCCATTGAGTAGATCATAAAAGGCCTGGAACCTGTTGCTGAGGGCTATGTTGAATTTGTTGAGTTTGTCAGCATCTCGAAGAAAGGCCGTATTAAACTTTTGTGATGTTGTTCGCGCCGTTGTCCACTGCTTCTTGAGTTTTAGTTTCATCTTGGCGACCAGAAAATGATGATCGGATGCTATATCAGCTCCTCTTCTGGTTCTCACATCCTCCATCGTCCTCCTGAACGTTTTGTTGATGCAGATATGGTCGATTTGATTCTGTGTAATGTGATCCAGTGAAATCCAAGTGGCTTTGTGTATGTTTTTGTGTGGGAATATGGTGCCACCTATGACCAGTTTATTGAAGGCACATAGGTTTGCAAATCTCTCACCATTTTCGTTCCTTTCCCCCAGTCCATGTTGTCCCATGACGTTTTCGTATCCAGTGTTGTCCATTCCAACCTTGGCATTGAGATCTCCCATCAGAATTATCAGGTCCTTGGTTGGGCACTTCTCGACGATCGACTGCAGCCTATCGTAGAATTGGTCTTTAGCGTCTTCATCGTAGTCATTGGTAGGCGCATAGCATTGGATGATGTTCATTGTAATGCCCTCTCTCTTTGTTTTGAAGGAGGCTTTGATGATCCTCGGTCCATGAGGTTCCCATCCAATAAGTGCATTTTGTGCTTTTCTAGACAGCATCAATGCAACTCCTTGTGTATGTGGGGCATTTTCTTCTTCATGACCGGAGTATAACAGAAGTTCTCCTGAAGATAGACGTTGTTGTCCGACCTGCGTCCAATGTGTTTCGCTGATTCCAAGAACCTCCAGGTTGTATTTTCTCATTTCTACAGCAATTTGGAAGACTCTTCCGGTCTCCCACATTGTTCGGACATTCCATGTACCTATAAAAATTGTCGCTCTGGTTGTAAGAAGGTGCATCGGCCTCATGACTTCCGAAGGAACTCGGCTTTCATCATGAGACGTCATTATTCCTTCTACTCCCAGGGCAGAGTTTGAATGGTTTGAATTATTTTTTCTGGTTAGCGTTTTTTTAGCGAGTTGATTTTCTACGGGATGGGGTCGCTAACCCCATGCCCAACCCTCCTCCTTTACCCGGGCTTGGGACCGGCAGTAACCCCCAGAGGAGCTACAGGCGGAGTTATTCAATATTTATAGTCATACATAAATAAGCTGATAACATGTGACGAATAGGGTAAGCAATACACATACACACAAATAAAAATAATTGATGTTATGAACGAATAATTGATAAGGGGGGGATAGTGACATAATAAAAATAAACCAATTGATCTATACAAAAACTAGACTAACCCATGTAGGCGTGATATCATAGTGAGGTGTGTGGTACTGATGTCGACAAATATAAGTAGTATGTATCGTCAATGGAAAGTGAAATACCTGGAAGGAGAAGGATAAGAAAATCAAAGAAAACGAGAACAAGAACAAAGAATGATTAGTGTGGAAACAAAAAAACGATGAAATCTGAGACGATTGATTGACATTTTACAAATGAAGTATAGTTACTGTATGGTTCTCAGATTCGATTGTCTCAACTTGTGTTCCCATTCACTACATTAGTACCAGCGTAGTGAACAAGATGATGAATGAGGACAACGGAATGTATTTGACACGAAAATTACAGACTATCTCACTAACATCTGACAACCATACAGTAGTAAACAGTTAATTTGTAAACTATCATTCAATTGTCTCTATCTTGACTGTTCCTTCTGTAAATATCAGCCATCTTCTCTGATTTCATTGTTCATGCATTTTCATACCGATTACGCTTCATTCTTGTTCTTTCCTTATCGATCTTCTGTCAAAATACATTCTATGCCAGACTCTCACTATATACTACTTATATAGATATAAGTAACCCACTCCAAACCAGATACTACATGCTCCTATTCTTTCCTTAATTACCTCTATTTTTCCTTTATCTTATAACTTGTCCAGTTTGATCTAGTTTGATCTCTTTATACACATATCATAAGGATTTAGTATGTGATTAGGCTTATTCAAAATGTATCCCACTAATATATAACATAATCGTAATTTAATCGGGATCGTGGATACGCACTGCTGAGGAGTCCCATAATACGACGAAATGGTCGTCCAATGCTTCCAGGTTTTACATGGTGGTCTAACTTCAATTGACTCATGATTTCAACTCTATAAAATTACTAAAATCTCCACCAAACCCCTTCTGATAATAATCTTTTTTTTTCTATAAATTTCATTTTCTCATTTATTTATTAGGGTTTAGAATCGATTGCATTTGAACCATTCGGTGGTACAACATCCGTTTCATTAGTATCTGATGGAGCTGAATGTGTTGCAATTAATAAAAAATTTTTTATTGAACATTGTCCAACGAATTTTTTAAATTGGTTACGATCTAAAGTAAGTAATCAATTATGTTGTCGATGTTTCTATTAGGTATAGTTTAAGTGGTTACAGTTTTTTTGAAAATACCTCACTAATGTATGCTACTGATGTTGATAAATATAAGTAGTATACATCATCAGTCAAAAATGAAATATCTGGCAGAAGAAGGTTAAGGTCGAAGAAAATAAAACGAAAACAGAGGATAGTTGCTATGGAAACGAAGGGACAATGAAGTCCGAGATCATTGATTGATATTTTACAAGTGAAGTATTTACTGTATATGGTTCTTAGATGTTGGAATTATTTTTTCTGGTTAGCGTTTTCTCAGCGAGTTAGCTTTTCCACGGGATGGGGTCGTTAACCCCATGTCCAACCCTCCTCCTTTACCCGGGCTTGGGACCGTCAGTATCTCTAGGAGAGCTACAGGCGGATGCAGATATAAAGGCGAGGATTGGCAAAGCAAGAACAGCATTTCTACAATTGAAGAACTTATAGAACTGAAGACAATTTTCAACTAATTTCAAAGTTAGAATCTTCAATACGAACGTCAAGACACTCCTACAGTACGGAGCTGAAATGTGGAGAACTATTACATCTATCAACAAGAAGGTACAAGTATTTATAAACAGTTGTCTATACAAAATATTCAACATTCACAGACCGGATACTATCGGCAACAACCTACTATGGGAGAAGACAAACCAGCTTCCAGTTGAAGAGAAAATTAAGAAAAGACGTTGGAAGTTGATAGTACATACATTGAGGAAATCACCGATGTGCAGATATGAAAAGGATGAATATTAACTGGAAAGGAAGACTCAGGACAGAGCTGGATGTAGAATGCTGGTGAGCGGCCTATGCTCCTCGACGAAGTGTAAAAGGCGTAAGTAAGTAAGTAAATCTTAGATGTTACTAAGATGTTCTTTAATTTTGCATGTTTAGATACATTCAGTTGCCCCACTTGTGTTCTCATTCCCTACACGTTCTTTCTTTAAATGATTATCATCATCAATTTTAATCTTTTAAACCGAATATTTATACTTTTTATAATATTTAAATAGGTTCAACCATTTCCTAGTGTTGAAGAATTAGAATCAAAATTGAATACTTATAGGCAATGGAAAATGTATCGTCATCATATAATTCAAGACATTACTTCTTCTACTAGATCATGTAATGTATAGGTCAATTTGATACTAATTCATGTTATCAGTCATATATATATACCTTGCAATAATAATGTAATGTATTACGTTCACTTTTGAAAACCATAAAAGAAACTTGTTGAAAGAGAATTGATGAAACTAACCGATCATAACGTAACAATCTATGTCATGTTGATCTGGTCTATAGTGTCGATCAAAATGAAATAAGATCAAAGATCTAAGTGATGAGATATTTTAGATGGCGTCGAGTCTCAATTGACTTTGACTAACCACTACAGTAAGATTACGAGCCTAAAATTGACTTGGTTCCTTTGATAGTTCGTAAACCAGAAGGCTGTAACTGGTCCATATAAAGTATATTTATTGGCGATCTCGTGATATCGAAGAAATACCGGGACGTGCCAATGAGTACAGGCAATAAGGGTAGAGTGTATGAAAGTTCGAGCAGACAAGATTGGCAACCGGACGAAAAGTGATTTCGATACAGTTAAACAAAGCGAGTACAGTAAAACAATCACTAGTACAATTAGTTATAATAATAATTGTTTCCATTATACCAATCGCGTTGTCGTCGAGAAAAGTAGGTCACTACAATATCTTGTGAACTATATTGTGCTGTTTGGTGATTGAAGGTAATGTGTAAAAAACGTACATAAGTGGTAATATATATACCACTGATACAGAAATCATAAAAGGGATTAAAAGAAGTGCATCCTGAATAACTGAAAAAACTATCACTATTCTTCACCATACACTCAAATGTATGTTTCTATTTTTATTCGGTTCATATGAGGATACCAGATGACCAAAAACATGATACAGTAAATCATATCTTCATAATAGGTATTTGGCTTGAGTTAGTACATAAAAATTGGTGTCAAATGACTCTCTATACATTTGTACTTCAACAACACGTAATCCTTCCAACTAAAAGTTCTACTGTGATTCCGAATCTGAATTGTTTATTGTGGATAGTATGGTCACAGCCAGTATTCAATGTATAAAACATCATTTTCCAAACCTTTTTACTGACTGCAGAGACCAAAAAACAGACGAGCGACTACCATGTATGACATGAATTATGATGACTGGAAGTATGGGTTGCCTACTAAAAAATAACGATTTTTCCAAACAATCAAAGGTTGAACGAGAGTTCGAAAACTGATAACCATAACTATTAATGTTATCCTTCAGTTTGTAATTCTCACTACTATCATGAAGTAATCACGATACATGTATACATCAATCAGTGGGACTTGTCACAATCAGGTTTAGCCGAAATGGACATGTGGAAGTCAACAAACGATATTTCAGCACAGACAAGCAAAACAAAGTTTCTCGACGCTGCTACTCCTTTTGCATTTTTACAGTACTCCCTTGTCAAGCATCTTATCAAACGCTCTTCGGATAGTACATTGTGATGACTTGGCTTTAAGAAAATTCCTTAGGCCTCGTAAATCAATCACCTCGATAACCGTCATAAAATCAGTCACAGAAGTGTATGAATTCAGAAGACAACACGAAGTATCGACTACAGGTTTCGTCGACAAAGTTACAAGCACACCAAATGGATTTGAAAAGCTTGTGGGGAGTAGTGTAACGTCGTGTACTATATTACACCTACACAGCTTATTCTAGTTTCTGGACAAGCCAATTCACCTATAACGTTATGAGTCATGTTTTGGTCTTGTCAATTATTCCCTTATTGACCTTGACTATTTTTTTATATGAGCGTATGTGTATGCACACTTCTTACCCTACCTATCACATGTCTGTCATTCATTTTAGTCTGACTATAAATGTTGATTAATGCTTGCTCATAACGAGTTGGCTTCCCAGCCATCTCCACTCTGCGTCATCTTTCCTTCGCTTGCTTACATTTGCTAATGTGCTCACTGCCTTCTAGCCCATGTTAGTTATCAATAAAAATGTAGTTGCCACTTCCCTTTGTCTTCTGATATTATACACCGTTCAGATTGTTATAATAACGGTTATCAAGACGATCGATAAACGAAGCACTACACTACAAGCTAATACGCGTGAGCAAGCTGTTACAGAGACGAATTCGGAGTCGAATCAATTAATAAGATTCAAGCAGATATATAAACGAGAAAAAGAATGATTCATCACGTGATATATGCAACTACCTTTTAAACTAGAGAAAAAGGATATATGCCTGGGCTATCACACGTGATCAAGCATGAATGTTAATACAGACATGATAGTAGTAATACAGTTACATAGACGAATTATTACTGTTCACATAACACTGCCGTTAAATAAGTTAAGTGAAGGGCTTTAAAAATTAACCGTAAGAAGACTTAATTGTAGAAGAGGTGCTATAAAATGAAATCCCAATCCACTTCTTTTACGACCATCCATTTCCCTCTGTTTTGAGCTAATAGATCGGTTACGTGAGTTAATTTGTCTATCGGTTGCCGAAATATCCTCCTTTTACATTTTTGGTAATAAGGTGGCTCACAATATCTGTTAGTAGAACTAAAAGTAATATACGTTGTCACTTTTGACTCAGAGCAGTACTAAAAATTGGATGTCCGGAGTATCGTACCGGATATCCGCGTATATGAGGTTCAACAACGAAGGTTTACGTTCTGAATTAAACTAATGGGTGTTGTGGCATCCTGTGAGCGGACACATTCAGTGACAGTCAGCAAGTGATCATTGTCAAGTCATTCACCTAAGTTGTGGATTTCGTTCAGTCAACACGTGTCAAGCACCCTTCACACCTGAGAATAACATTAATTGAATTAGACAAATCATTATCCACTGGTTAACTGGAATAATTGATGGAAAGCACCTACGGTTTGTCAAGTTAATTTCTCGTGACAGGATTGTGAATGGACGGGCGATGCTTCATTGAAGTGTTTTTCTGCAACTTAAAATGTGTACAGTTGTAAATTGTTTTGTAGTTGTATGCAGCTTTCTTGAACAACAAAACAGTACGTTGATGAACCTACTTGCATTGCAAACCAATGGAAACAAATCTATGATAAATGTAATCAAGCAGATGCAAGTGTAGTGGCACTGGTTTTTAACTATACGATCGTTGAAGATGAATGTATGACACCGGAGGAGGTTTGTACTAGCTGTTGAACATATGGAGACTGTTAGAAAAGTTGGATAAGGGTAGGGCATTGATGAAATGATTCGGATGACCATAGTATAAAATATGATTTGTCACTCAAAGTATAGGCGTTAAGAAAACTTTAATGCAGGATAATTGTTTACGGAAGTATGTGGAAAAATGTGGGAATATAGTAGTTAAAGATAAAACAATGGGTGATGAGATAAAAATAGTGGTAAGTCAACATGGTGCACGTGAGAGTAGAAAGCTGAAAAAAGTAAACAAGCAAGAACTCACATTAACTTGGTGCTATCCTAACCAGTTGATGAGTCATAGGTTCCATAGATGCAAGACCACTGCCTGTTAAGTTCAGAACACCAATCCCAGACTTTGCGACATGAATCATATATTTCAAACATACTAGATTTATATACAAAACCAAATACATCATATCGTACCATAAAATAGAAAGTAAAATTTGTACATGATCAGGCAAAAAGTGACTTTGAATATGAGAGACAGTTATTGATAGACTTGTAGTGTAGTGCTTCGTTAATCGATCGTCTCGATAACCGTTATTATAGCAATCTGAACGGTGTATAATATCAGGAGACAAAGGGAAGTGGCAACTACATTTTTATTGACAAATAACATAGGCTAGAAGGCAGTAAGCACATGAGTAAATGTTAGCGAGCGAAGAAAAAGTAACATACATGGGAGATGGCTGGTAAGCCAACTCGTTATGAGCAAGCATTAATCAACATTTATAGTCAGACTAAAATGAATGACAGACATGTGATAGGTAGGATAAGAAGTGTGCATACACATACGCTCATATAAAAAAAATAGTCAAGGTCAATAAGGGAATAATTGACAAGACCAAAACATGACTCATAACGTTATACGTGAATTGGCTTGTCCAGAAACTAGAATAAGCTGTGTAGGTGTAATATAGTACACGACGTTACACTACTCCCCACAGACTAGGCATAACTCAAGAACGGTACGTCGTATGATAATGATCAGTGGATCGAGATAAAGTTTATAATAAGAGGAACACAAATATGCATAGTTTGGCTACTTAAAAGTTATACATTCAAAATATACGCATTGTATTAGCACATAATCAGGTCCTAACAGTCACAATTCATTGTTTTCGTCGGGACATAACATAGATTAGATTGATCTTTTGCTAGTGAGACAGTGTCGTCCTCGATCCGGTTGTAAATGGTGTTCATGATGCCATCTCAGCGTTTCCATCGCAAAGCATATGAATCACATTGACTTCAGATAAATATACTCTATCATATGTGATTTAACTTCACTAGTCATTACCAATCTATTCTAACTCTACCCCCCCCCCCACTTTCCCCCCCTCTTTTTGAGCATACTCTTGGCATACCACCAAGAACATATATATGGGACATATGCTTTCGTCCTGCGCCTTCATTAGTACCTCTGTTATTTATCTGATAACACTAGCTATCCATTATTTCTTCTTACAGATAGCTATAAACTTTATCTACATTCATTCTCGACCATTGGTTGCGTGTCGCGACTCAACCTCTACTAAGCTCGTCAAGTAGTGGATTGAACATTCAAGTTTACTAAAATTCCTCTCTTAATGTACGAAAATCCATTCACCAGTTTCTGTAGCCAATGTGTCGTATAATATTTCAACCTAACTGAGCAACTGTGTGCAGTAAATCCCATGGAACTTGTAACAATTTGTAAACTGTCACTTCTTGTGTAACATATTTCTTTTTGAGAACAAATTATCATTATTTTTAATTATCTTAGAACCGACTACGATGCTGTACGTGTTAAAATGTGGGAAAGATTTTGTCTGAGTGAATGTATTCGTATCGATGTAGACGCATCGTGGGATCTGTTCAAGCACCTCTTTTCCCGAATGATCCATGACTACATTCCTCCTCCTAGCCACATGTTAAATTAAAGAGGCTTTCTTCATGAATAAAGTTTGGAACGCATAGATTTGTCAGGTGTAAATGTATCGCTCCATATAAATGGGGTGTTGGGACATCTAAGCCGACCATCTTACTGGGAATACGCAAAAATGGGTTGACTAAAAACACTACCAAGTTAAGACGTCTTCACGCTTGAACAGTTACTATTTCCCATTTGCAGCTAATCTGTGGTAGTGTTGGTCCCTAACCACACAATTCTCGAAGATGAATATAAGATAACCCAGAAAATCCACATTCAACATGCAACGCATGGAGGGGGTCAGTAATGGTGAACGCAAGAACAATTGGTCAGGGTGGCATTACTCGGACTTGCAGACGTGGTCACTCTGTATAAGTTAGCTTTGCTCACATTAAATATATTATTCTATCTCAAGCTCAAACGTGTCCTTCAGAAGAGCTATACATTTTATTGCTGATGATCAGGACAGTATGAGTCAGTGTAGACAATGGCGTATTATATGTAAGATCCTAAAAATTAGGTACGTAGGAAATGCACATGTAGATGCTTTCTATACTTTACCCAAGATATTCGAGTCACCTTTTAAACAATGGCTTGCAGCCTGAACGCAGTTCTCAAGCTTAGTTCTCTTGAAGGTTTTGTATACCGTAGTGAACATGGCCTTACATAACATAGTGAATGTTGGTTTTAAAGCCCAGAGGGTCCTAAACTCCTTAGCTGCAACGTCCTGTGAATGGGCTGTGGTTTTAGGATCTTGACTCACTGTCTTCCCTAGATCCTTGTCAGACTGGACCACGAGTACAGGCACTTCACCTATGCTGTACCTATTAATCATTGTATCTCCAAAGTGCATGTATACGCTTTGCAGCGTTGATAGTCATCAGCCACTCTTTAGACCAGTTAATCACAATATTTACGTCTGCCTGAAATGAGCATGCATCTGCGTCTCCCGTTATTTCTCGCCAATTTATTACACCGTCAGAGTATAATAACATTGGGGAGATTATTTACATATAGTATAAAAAAACACCTAGGATAGAACCTTGAGGCACTCCACTTAGTGCTAGTCCTCAGGAGGAGCAGTTTGAATTTATTCTTAATTTCTGTCTACGACCTATCACAAAATCCCCGAGCCAATAACAAGATTTTCTAACTTCAAAAGCAGTCTATTTGTTGGCACCTTTTCAAAAGCCTTACTGAAGTCTATATAGACCACATTCACTGAGTTTCCGTTGTGTAGAGCCTTAATCCAAAATTCCCTTGTTATAAGGATGTTCTTTGTGCAAGATAAACCATGATTTAGAACTTTGTTCTCTGTTTGACAGGTTGCTAGTTTCCATATATATCATTATTGTCTGTTTTGACACGCTGTGAAATTTTATTTCCTGAAACCGTCTCTTCCTTGGACTCTGATTTCAATTCAGTATCAAACACAGAGGTTACGTTCTGTTTTCCTACTTTTGTTTTCCTAGATGTGACTGTGAGCCACTCAGTTACCCTATATTTTCTCTTGATCACTTCCTTTACACTGCACAGACGTGGCTCCCCTATAGTTTGTATCACATTGATATGTGAACCCAGAAGTGAACCCGCAGATTCACTTGCCTCAGTACTGTCTATAGGTAGTTTCTTCTTCTCAGCGCTTTTCTTCTTTCTCCTTGTAACAATGCCTACATCCATATGCTCATCTGCTTCCCTGATGAGGTCCACCTTTATGGTTTCATTTAAGTCTAGAGCTGGGCTCACAATAACGCTCTCAATTTCCTCAAAAACGGAGTTCTGATCATCCGCTGCTGCCTGTTTATAAGAGGGCGATTTCCTAGCTGTTTGGCAGCTCGATCGCCTCTAGAATCATCAGAGACTTGACAGAACAACATTCTTGGCACAGTCAACGTGATATTGGCTTTCAGCATCCTTTATATGCAGCTGGTGTGAGTTAGTTGCACACACTGTGATGCCACTTATCACAGTTATCACATTTCATTCCCTCATAGACGGGGAAATAACATGCTGGTATATCACAACGATGTCTTAATTGCGCCATAGATTTATTTCGTTTCTCTATAAATAAAATAAACAATAAAAACATCCGACTTCAGTAGTCACAGAAAGATCTTAACACCTATGGTATGGTAAACACCGGATTTCTGGAAATGCACATGTAGCTGCGCTCTGTACTTTTTCCAGGATATCCGAGTCACTCTTTAAACAGTGGCTTGCAGCTGGAATGCAGTTTTCAAGTTTGGATTTCACTAACGTCGCATAAACTGTAGTCAACATATTAGTATCCGTCTTGGTAAATGGCCATTTTAAAACTCATAGATCTCAAACACTTTACTTGCGACTGAGCGGTACTTAACAATGGTCTTGAGATCATGGCTCAATGTTATCCCAAGATCATCATGAGACCAAACTATGTGTACCGACTCTTTCCCTATGCTGTATCTATTTGCCTTTGTATTTCCAATGCGCAAATGGACACATTTGACTGCGTTCATAGGCATCGGCCACTTTTTAGACCAGCTAATCAAAACATCTAAGTTTGTTTGAAGTACACATGTATCCTCGCCTTCTGTCATTCCTAACCAGACTTTCACATTAGCGTATGTAGCATCGAGGAGTCAACAGTACTTAGGAGTTCATTTATATACAGTGTGTAAAGTAAATGATCTAGGACAGAGCCTTGCCGTAATGCAATAAGGACTGGTTTCCAAGAGGAACACTTGGAATTTGCTGTTGCTTCCCGAACGCTACAGGAAATCTTGAACGACACATCTGAATTTTTCAGAACAAATCTTGAATAAAATTTCCGTAGAAAACAGATTTTCTCCAAGAGTATTCAAAACCTTGAACCACTTGTCACGAGGGTTGTCTAGTGTTCAAGCGACCTTATTAGAAGATTAAAAACTAACGTGACAACCTTATTAAGGGACCTTCATAAACCTCTAACCTTCTGTTCAAAGAAAACAATTCTTGATTAGAGCATTATTCATTTGGTTTCTCGGTAACTAAAACAACAGTACACCCTTATAATATCCAAATATAGAAAAAAGCATGATCTCATCTCGAATTTCCATAGAGATCGACTCGTTTTTCTCGGTCAACAAAGCTTGGAGTTTGAAGCTATTCAATGCAACAATTTTTGGATCAGTGAGATGATGGCGAAGGTGATTTATGCCAGCTACTTGTTGGCGCGCTTTTCTCCTGCGATCGTTCGGCGGATCTAGATTTCCGGACAGGGTTTAATATGTCTGAGAGCATAAAGGTCATTTGCCGCGTAAGGCCACTTAATGATCTGGAAAAGGCGAACGACAGCAAATTTGTTGTATCGTTTCCTGGTGATGGCAAAACGGCAATATCAATTGGAGTAAGCTTTATGGTACCAATATAATTCTTTATTTCAGGGAAAAAACTTTAACTTTGACCATGTAGTACAACCTAAAGCAACTCAGTTAGAAGTCTACGAAATTGTTGCCAAACCAATTGTTGCAGATGTTCTCAATGGATATAACGGCACAATTTTCGCTTACGGTCAGACGTCGAGTGGGAAAACATTTACTATGGAGGCATGATTATTTGTTTAATAACGTTTCGTGCAGGGGATTTTAGGTGACCCAGTCTTTCAGGGTGTTATTCCCCGGATAATACACGACATATTCAATCACATTTACCAAATGGACGAAAATCTTGAATTCCATATCAAAGTAACTCTTAAAAATAATTTTTTAATCCTAAGGTTTCATATTTTGAAATATATATGGATAAGATTCGCGATTTGCTTGATGGTAAGTCTGTTATTCAATGTATATCTTGGCTTAGTTTCGAAGACAAATCTACCTGTCCATGAAGATAAAGATCGAGTGCCTTATGTTAAAGTAACATTTTCAGTTTTTTTCTCACTCAAAACCTTAAGGGAGCCACAGAACGGTTTGTGTCTAGTCCTGAGGAAGTATTTGACGTCATTGATGAGGGGAAAGCCAATCGTCATGTTGCCGTAACAAGTAAGTCTCACTTGTAGTTTCCTCTCCCCACCTAATATTTAGTGCGTAAAACCACTGCTTGCTAAATAGAAGTATTGTTTTCAGCTTCATTACAATAATAAGGGAAATGTTTCATGACACTATTTACCTTATCTTGCTTTCTGCCTCAACACGTTCAAGAAGCAGAAATACAGATGTGTTAAAGATTTTTCTTAATTAGAAATTGACTTTATTTGTCCTTTGCTGTTAGTGTACTTTTGACTGTTGGGAACGTATTAGCTTAAATAGATTCATTATTGTTCGATGTTATGCGCCTAATGGTTTCTCAACATACAGGTACCGCTAGACAGAAAGTGGCATTCTGACATGCTTTAGGTTGTGTCTGAAGTTATAGACTTGAAATTATTGGTAGCGGCATGACTTTTGTATGTTAGGGTTAGTGATACCATATGACTGTACAAATTGAGGCCTCTGAAACACTCCAGCCACACTGTCTCTAGTACTCAGTGGTTGGGTACTTTAACAGGTATACCAGAGACTTTTACTACACTAAACGTAGTCCAGTTTTCTGTAATATAGTCTAAGCACTCAAAACGTCCGATTACTAGTCATTTAATTTCAGTATCTAACGATAAAAAGGCTACATACATTTGGAACTGAATAATTAAAAATATAGTGTCAACAGACTACGTAGTGAGATTTTTTATGGAGTTATTAAGGTCCAGAATTTATTTGAATCTTTTGATATTAATTTCAGCCCAAATATTTCTCAAACTAAGCTTATTTATCTTTCTCTGCTATTATTATTATTATTATTTCATTGTGTAGACATGAACGAACATAGTTCTCGGAGTCATTCAGTGTTTATGATTACCGTTCGACAAGAAAATTTAGAGACACAAAAAAAACTCCATGGGAAACTTTATCTTGTTGATCTGGCTGGTAGTGAGAAAGTTGCTAAAACAGGAGCTGAAGGCACTGTTTTGGATGAAGCTAAAAATATCAACAAATCATTGTCTGCTCTCGGTAATGTGATCAATGCACTTGTGGAAGGAAGCGTAAGTTTCCACTTAATTATTGTTTTGGTTTAGTCCTCTCAGTTGTGTTAAAATTATCATGTAATCTTGAGATTAAGCTTTGATTTATATAGAACATGGGGTAGGAATAACACTCGACTGTAAGAGCAGTATAGACAGCTATTCTTTTACAATCCTTGTATGATTTCAGAATCTTGTATTATTGTCAGTTGCTCTACAATCGACCACCTACTCGAGTTCCTTTGATGTTCACTGACCCCAGTGATAGCTGGAAGCAAGCATAACCATATCTACTCTTGTTTAAATGGTCTTTTTATACTTGGACTGATTGTCCATCAGAGACAGTGGTCGAATTAGAATTTCGGTTTTGAACCGGTTGTCAAACTATTCTGAGTAATACGAACCAAACTTTATCTTCTGCCCAGTGTTTTTTCGCGAGGTTCGTTTTTACTGGATGGGGTTGCTAACATTTTGTTCAACCTCCCATCTATCCTTGGGACCAGCAGTAATTCTAGAAAAACTCCAGGTGGAGTTACATGAAAAACATTGACGTGAACCTAATTGAATGTTACTAGCATATTTATCGGGTAGATTCTAACTGGAATTCTCAGATTATGGTAATTTAAGTTGACTTTTCACTGATTAGAGGACTCAGAAAATAGTTTTACAACGCGTATTTATTGTTTAAACAGTAACAAAATTGTGCACTTTTTAGTGAAATTGAAATAGAAAATCTTAAAGTTCCCCCACTTTCACGAAACTGAGTACGTTATTTAAGCCAGTTTTCCAATTTTCTATTCCCAGTCGCACGTCCCTTACCGTGACTCAAAGTTGACGCGTATTCTTCAAGAATCTCTGGGTGGTAATGCACGGACAACAATGGTGATATGTTGTTCACCAGCTGCTTTTAACGATGCTGAGACGAAATCAACTCTTATGTTTGGTATGCGCGCTAAAACGATCAAGAACTTAGTCACTGTAAATGAAGAACTAACTGCCGATGAATGGCGACGACGATACGAACGTGAGAAAGAGAAAGTTAGGAGACTTCAAAATATTGTATCTCACTTGGAAAGTGAACTGAAACGTTGGCGAGGTGGTAAGTTATGCGCTTGTGTGAGAAGAATTCAACTTTTTTCCCACCAGTGTAGATAAAGCTTTGATAGTAGGCGTTTATTGAGTACAGCAGTACGAGCAGATATAAATAAGAATTAAACCTTATCAGCGACCTAAAAGAGTACAAAGCAAATGAATTACGAGTATTGAAGTGTCTGAAATCTAAAGCTAGATAAAGGGTGATTGTTTTAACTTCTAATCACTGGTTTATGTCAAATTATTAATTCCGACTAAAATTTGTAACAACAGTTCAAAGTCTCATAGATTGGTGTCATTTCTTGATTTAACCATTTTTATCTCACAATAGATAGAGTAAATCAAAGCATATCTGGCAGTTTAGATATTGGAGGTTCAAGATATTGTCGAACAACCTCACCAGGTACTTGGGTATGAGCCACACACTAAGCATGAGGGCTAATGTACTACCTGGTTTTTCAAACAGAAGTAGATGGAGTGGAGTTCTAATCAAGGGCTTAGTTGTTTAAAGTCAAACGCTTTAACTACTAAGCCACAGCTCAAATAGTGAGGTTTAGTGCATAAAGCTTTGTGTAGAATGGGAATTGACTGTTTGTGGTTTCACTAAAAATGCATCAGTAGCTATGTATTCATCATCTTTTAACTCTCATATCTCAAAGAAATTATCCTACAGAAGTAAAGTAAAATAAACCGCTACACTGTATGTTGGATCGTCTGTGCATAAACATATGTATAACCATTTTTGCAGACGGTTTCAATTTGGAATAAAAACGTAATATATTTATGGTTTGCAAAATAGTGGATTCATTGTAAGAATAGTGACTTTATCATGGAATCCTGGGACTAATTATTGAATTTTTAGTTCACAATAAAGTATCGTTTAGATGTAGCGGTCTTTCCATTGCTTCATAGAAGTAAGAATAACTGATTTTGTTTTACATCCTCCCAACTATAAAACTGATAATTGATAGTGGCTACATGAGGGTTAATTTTGATATTTTCAATTCATTCATCATTTATTCATTATCGAGTGGTAACTTGCAATAAGGAATGTTATTCGCCAATAATCGTATTTTATTCAGTCAGTCAGTCACAACGTAGAACTTCGTACGTACGTACATCAGTTCGAGTTGCCATACCACATTAGCACAGAGATGCAGTTGTCGATTCAAATCCCATAGTGGTAGAAGTAGTAGGAGTATAATCAGAAATCCAAAAGATTAGGGGTTTGAAGAAATTATTGAAGGAGTATAGTACAGTGAAATAAATTTGGAAAGAGAAAAAGATAAAGACATGAGGAATTCAGAAGATTAGAATTTGGTAGAACACAAAGAGTGGATGCATCTTCGCCATTGCAAACGATTTTGAGCCATGTCATTCAAGGTCTCTAACCATCGGTTGCTGTCATCTCGCGAATCCCAACCAGGTAGTCTACACCTACCAACATGGCCCAGTCCACTTGTCAGTGACTTCATTGATTTCTGCCACGTTTTGGTCTGGCCACCCCTAGCTTTCTTCCAACCTACTCCTACACCATGAAACATTGCACGTCGGGGCAGTCGGTGGTCGGGCATACGTAACACATGTCCCAGCCATCTCAACTGATGAAGTTTCACTACTTCATCAATCGATTTGCCATCCCTACCTAGTACTCGTTTCCTAACAACTGCATTACTTACCCGGTGGTCCCAGGATATACGAGCAATGCTTCGAAGACACCTATGATCGAACACTAGTAGCCTACGAATATCCTCTACTGTTATTGGCCATGTTTCACCGCCATAGAGTAGGACGGAGCGAACTGCTGCACAGTAAACCCGTCCTTTGGTTGCTAGACGGATATCGCACCTACGCCATAAATGACGCAAGTTGGCGAAAGCTAGACGAGCCTTCTGTATCCGTGCTGAGATTTCGTCACATACCAGACCACAAGGGCTGATGAGACTTCCAAGATAAGTGAAGTGGTCTACACGCTCAACTACTTCACTCCCTATCATTAGTTCAGGTGTCGATGCAACCCAATCCTGAAGTAACATTTTGCACTTCGAGGGAGAGAATCACATTCCGAACATGCCTGCATAGTTGCTTATAGTGGTCAGAAGACTCTGCATGTTGTCAGCGTCTTCACCGAGTAAAACTATGTCGTCGGCGTATTCTAAGTCAACAAGTGAGCCTCCTGGTAAAAGTTCAACTCCTGGAGGTTTAGCTGATGAAAGTGCTATCTCTAAAAGTAAGTCAATGACAAAGTTAAACAAGAATGGGGAGAGTGGACAGCCCTGACGAACGCCACTTGTGGTAATCAGTTCTGATGACAGTTCGCCATAGGCTCTAACTCGACCAGTTGTGCTCGAGTAGAGAGCCTTTATGAGGTTAATGTACTTCTTTGGTACTCCTTTCAGTGACAAACATTGCCATAGAACCTCACGATCAACAGAGTCAAATGCCGCCTTAAGGTCAAGAAATACTACTATTGTGGGACGTCTGAATTTGTGTCTATGTTCTAGAACCTGACGTAGGGTGAATATCTGGTCTATGCAACCACGTCCAGGTCGAAAACCAGCTTGGTTTTCTCTAGTCTGCTCTTCACGAGCTTTGGTTAGGCGACCTAGTATTATTGAAGCTAATATTTTAGACACAATATTAGTCAAACTGATCCCTCTGTGATTGTCACAAGAGGACTTTTGTCCTTTCTTATAAACTGGCACAATCAGTGATTGGGACCAGTCAGATGGAATTACGTCCAGTTCCCAGATTCTACCTAAGACCTCAGTCAATCTCACTGCTAGTACTGGACCACCATCCTTAAAAATCTCAGGGGTCAACCTGTCAGGGCCTGCTGCTCTCCCTCGCTTCAGATTTCCTATAGCTTTTTCAACCTCACAGAGGGTTGGAGGACTTACATCAATTTGCCATTCAGGACGACTGGGGATCGTGGGTAATTGAAGTGTGGCTGAAGGCCAGTTGAACTGATCCCTAAAGTGTTCTGCCCATCGATCCAACCTCCTGGATTGAGAATGAATAATATGCCCATCTTTATCTGAGATGGTTTCACTGATATTCGGGTTCCTAATACCGGTTTCTTTAACGAGTCTGAATAGCTGCCTACTGTTACCTATTGCCGCTGCCTTTTCCATCTCTCTTGCTTTCGCTACCCACCACTGTTCACGATCATTACGTAGACTTCTTATAAGCCTGCGATTAAGTTGACTCCGCTCTTCGTTATGCTCAGAGCCAGGTGGGATGAGTTTACGAGCATCTATCAGTGCGGTAGATGCTGCCGAGATCCATTGTTTCTCCCTAACGTTATGGTTTACCTTATTAGCGGATATCACTGCTGATTCCACAGCTTTTCGGATGTCATTCCACGCTGCCTCGGGGTGGACACAACTTACATGGCTGCCTAACTGTTTTTCTAGTTGTTCCTGAAATATATTCTTAGCTTGCCTACCATTAAGTAGAACCCTTAGAGGCTTCCCTGCAGTGTCTTTCCTACGTCCAGTAAGACGCAGACAAATACGTGCTCGCACTAGAGCATGATCTGAATCTAAGCATGTGCCCCAGAATGAGCGACAGTCTTCTATCGAGCCCCTCCATCGGTGGCTGATAGCGATGTGATCTAATTGGGTCCAACGTTGGGACGAATTCGGGGGTCGCCATGTCAAAAGATGTTTTTCCTTATGCTTAAAGTTAGTATTTGCAAGAAATAGGCGGTTATCTGAGCACAGCTGCAACAGACGGTCGCCATTATCTGTTCTTTTCGCCATGACACCATAAGATCCACCCAGGTGTCCTTCCCTTTCACTTAGTTTACCTACTTGAGCATTAAAGTCACCTGCTACTATTACTACATCAGAACGCCTAGCTTCTCGGAGAAGGTCAGAAAGTTTCCTGTAGAACTCATCTTTTATATCGTCTGAGCTGCAGTCAGTGGGAGAGTAGGCAGAGACGACGAAGAGGCAACGACGAATTTCACTATCTTTCCGAGTCCTTACTGATCCGTTTAGTCGAACAGCGCATAGACGACTGTCTACTGGGATCCAGTCTAAAAGAGCTAGTTCTGCCCTAGGACTTAATGCTATACCTACTCCAGCGAGGCCACGGGAAGCAGCGTCAGGGCTTCCAGATACACGGAGCGTGTATCGAGATGAAACTTTATTTTGATTAGGTGCGGTCAAATGAATGACACTACTCGGATCTTGTATGCGCGTTTCGGAGACGCAGCACACATCGATGGTGTAAGATTCTAGAGTCCTAGCTAAGGAAGCCTGTTGTCCTATTTGGCACAATGTTCGGACATTAAAAGTTCCTATATGTAGTTTAGAGCGTGGTTTCAGGAGACCAGGAATAACGTTCTGTGTACTCGAATCGTTTGCCCTAGCGGTGCGACGCGATAAAAGGACGTGGGAAGGGTTAGTCGAGGAGATAACAGAGTTATTAGGTGTAGGAAGGATTTGAAAGCGACCAACTTGGTCTTGTGTGCAGTTAAGGGTATGAGGGCTAGTATCACTTCCCGGCTGCCCACACCGTGGAAGGGTATTTCTTGAGGGACCTGAAAAAGAAGTTGGATTAGTGTTGGTCTTAACGACCTGGGAGCGTGACCGCAGTGCCCAAGAGACATCTGCTTGAGGCCGGTCACGCACGGCCTTTTTGTGGGGGATTTTTGACGTGTTAGCTCCGTTCTTCAAAAGTCCTTACCGCCGGAGACGGAAATCCGTGGGATAAGGCGAGGTGTGCATTTTTAGGGTCGACCTTTTCTAACCCCACCCCTCCTTGTGGGAAGGCAGCATCGCTGTCATGCTGGTTGTCTGAAGGAAACACCTTACTGCTTTCACACCTCTGTACGTACAGTCAGCAGTACGACTTCGCCTTCGGACCTTGGGATTGCTGCTTTTAGTCTCACCGCTCTTCAACCGACCTGTCTGGCATGGTAGGACCTTGAGGAACGATTGTTCCAGCCAGCATAGCTCGATTGGATCATCACGATAGGCAAGCCCGACCACCACGTCAAGGTAGCAGCAACGGTCGGGAATCGTATTTTATTAATCGGTATTGATCGGTAATTATAAAACGACGGGACTATTATTCACTATTAGTCTAGGAGATTAGACAGATGGGAAATATAATCTAGGGATCAGTTCAACTGGCCTTCAGCCACACTTCAATTGCCCACTATCTCCAAGCAGCCTTAGCGGCAAGTCGATGTAAGTTCTCCAACTCCTGATGAGGTTGGAAAGGCTATAAGCAAGCTAGAGCAGGAGTACCTAATGGACCAACTTTCGAAATTTTTTAAGGATATCGATCCAGTTTCAGCAGTTAGACTAACTGAGATCTTAACTGAAATCTGAGAACTGAACGTTATCCCATCTGACTGGTCTCGGTCGTTCAATGACCCAGTCTATAAGAAAGAACAAAATACCTGTTGTGACAACCTCAGAAGAATCAGTTTAACTTATGTATCGCCTAAAATATTATCCTCAATAATACTTCTATGTCTAACTAGAGATCGTGAAGACCAAATAAGAGAAAACCAGTCTGACTTCAGAACTAGACGTAGATGTATAGACCAACTATTCACCCTTCGTCAGTTTCTGGAAAATAAACATACTTCTCGACGTCCTACTATAGTTGTATTCCTTGACCTTAAGGCGGCGTTCGACTCCACTGACCAAAAGGTTCTGTGGCAGTATCTGTCATTATAAAGCAAACCAAAGAATTACATTAACCTCGTACATGCTCTGTACTCGAACACTAATGGTCGAATCCGAGCTTCTGGCGAACTGTCATCGGAGTCGATTATTTCAAGCGATGTTTGTCAAGATTGTTCGCTATCTCATTTCTAATTAACTTTGTTATAGACATCGTTTTAGACATAGCATTTTCAACAATAACACACAACCATGTTCGACTTGCGGCTCTCTCTCCAAATGCAAAGTGTTACTCCGGGATTGGCATGCGTCAGTACCTGAATTAGTTGTAGCGAGTAAAGACTTCACTTTTCTTGAGTCTCATCAGTCCGTTGTTTCAGGAGTTCTCGGTACGGATTCAGAAGGTTCGGTAGGCTTTTACCAACTTGTGACGTGGGCAACATATCCGTCTGCCAACCAAATTACCAGTTCACTGTTCAGCATTTCGCTTCACCCTAACTTATAGGAGTGAAACATGACGATTAAGAACAAAGGATATTCCCATGTTACTAGTATTCGACCATAGGTGTTTTCGAAGTATAGCTCATGTATTTCGGAATCACGGAGTAATCGATGTCTGGATTAAGAATGGATTGCTAAGTAAAGATAGCAAATCAATCAAATCAGTCGTGAGTCTTCATCAACTGAGGTGGTTGGGATATATGTTACGTATGCGCAACCACCACCTACCTCGACGGCAGATGTTTTGTGCTGTAGGAGTAGGTTTCAAGAAAGTTTGGGTCAGTGAAACAAAACATGATATCAGTTCATGAAGTCATTGACAACTGGACTGAGTTTTGTTAATAGTTGTAGACTACCTGATTAGTGTACGCGTGATTATCGTAACCAAGGGTTAGAGACTTGAATGAATGGAATATGGAAACTTTAATCAATGTATGGGATGGGCAAACGAAAACGTGGCACCAGTGCTTGAAGACACTAACTGTTAGTCCGAGCCATGTTGGCAGACGCAGACTACCTGGTTGAGGTCCGCATGATTATCGTAACGAATGGTTGGAGACTCTGTGTGACATGGCTCAGAATCGATCACAATGGTGTAGGTGTATACGCTCTTGATCTTCCCTTAAACCTTGAGAATAAAATTGCTTCATATCTCTCTTCCTTCCCATACTATATCATTATATACAATCTATCTTTTATATACTACCACCACCACTAAATTAACTAGTTCTGTGAATCCGGTGTTCATCTTATTGTGCTAATGAGGTATGGCAACTTGGACCGAAGGATACATGTGCCTGGTCCTACGTTGTAGCTGACTGACTGATGTTCAGTATTATAATGCCTTGTACCTGTATTGTGTGAACTTAACTTCAAAATTTATATTTCGTTATTTCTGTGTACATGTATGATGCATCTTTGCTACATTGTTATAAATAATAATCTATTTATAATAATTTCCATTCTGCTTTAAATTTTCAGGTGAGTCTGTCAGTCAAGCTGAATGGTTTACAGAAACTCAATATTCAGCTGCCATAGATGATACAAAGGACATAACAGCTCCAGATGTATTTCCAACTAAACTTATGTCAGATAGCATTTCAGCAACTACACCACAAGGTGTCCAACTATCAAATACATCTCAAGGTAATTTCGTCTTTTCTTTCTGTTTTGTATTTTCTTAGTTTCCTTCTCAAACTGTATCTGTGAATGGTGTTTTGATGTTCTATCTGACTGCTTCACGGTAACTTTATTGTCTCATATATATACAAGTTTCATTCATTTGTTTCTGTTTGTATGTGGTCCATTATTATCGTTCATTTGTACTTTTTTTATTTAAACACATAAATATTGGTACAAGGAAGCACCAGATACATATACGCCGCACAAATCTCATTTTAGTTGTGTGAGGGCTATGATACTACTCAGGTGCCCAGACTGAGGCAGGTGGTTTTCTTAGGGAGCCACACTCGAAGCCTTTGACCTTAAGGTCTGATCCACAAAGCAATGAAGCATCGTGGGAAGATGCAGTCCCATGGTAGCCGGTGACCAACGATTGATTCGTAAGCCATTTGTCCCCTCAGGGTGTTGCGGTGTAAATCTGATTCCGTCTATACTCGTATATAATAATTGACTTAATCCGCGTTGGTGAACAACGGAGTTAAATACGTCAAATACGAGAATGGAATTAGAATACATATATTTTCTACACTCATTGATCTGGCCATGGAATCAGAGCGATGAAGCGAACGGAAGCGAGAGAAGCAAAGTGACGTGCATTTGGAGATGGCTGGGAAGCCAACTCGAGAGTGAAGCAAAAACAATGCATATTGGAGGTGGCTGGGATGCCAACTCGCTATGAGCAAGCATTACTCAATATTTATGATCAGGCAAAAATGAATGACAGACATATGATGAATCAGTCAGTCAGTCACAACGTAGAACTTCGTACGTACGTACATCAGTTCGAGTTGCCATACCACATTAGCACAGAGATGCAGTTGTCGATTCAAATCCCATAGTGGTAGAAGTAGTAGGAGTATAATCAGAAATCCAAAAGATTAGGGGTTTGAAGAAATTATTGAAGGAGTATAGTACAGTGAAATAAATTTGGAAAGAGAAAAAGATAAAGACATGAGGAATTCAGAAGATTAGAATTTGGTAGAACACAAAGAGTGGATGCATCTTCGCCATTGCAAACGATTTTGAGCCATGTCATTCAAGGTCTCTAACCATCGGTTGCTGTCATCTCGCGAATCCCAACCAGGTAGTCTACACCTACCAACATGGCCCAGTCCACTTGTCAGTGACTTCATTGATTTCTGCCACGTTTTGGTCTGGCCGCCCATAGCTTTCTTCCAACCTACTCCTACACCATGAAACATTGCACGTCGGGGCAGTCGGTGGTCGGGCATACGTAACACATGTCTCAGCCATCTTAACTGATGAAGTTTCACTACTTCATCAATCGATTTGCCATCCCTACCTAGTACTCGTTTCCTAACAACTGCATTACTTACCCGGTGGTCCCAGGATATACGAGCAATGCTTCGAAGACACCTATGATCGAACACTAGTAGCCTACGAATATCCTCTACTCTTATTGGCCATGTTTCACTGCCATAAAGTATGACGGAACGAACTGCTGCACAGTAAACCCGTCCTTTGGTTGCTAGACGGATATCGCACCTACGCCATAAATGACGCAAGTTGGCGAAAGCTAGACGAGCCTTCTGTATCCGTGCTGAGATTTCGTCACATACCAGACCACAAGGGCTGATGAGACTCCCAAGATAAGTGAAGTGATCTACACGCTCAACTACTTCACTCCCTATCATTAGTTCAGGTGTCGCTGCAACCCAATCCTGAAATAACATTTTGCACTTCGAGGGAGAGAATCGCATCCCGAACATGCCTGCACAGTTGCTTATAGTGGTCAGAAGACTCTGCATGTTGTCAGCGTCTTCACCGAGTAAAACTATGTCGTCGGCGTATTCTAAGTCAACAAGTGAGCCTCCTGGTAAAAGTTCAACTCCAGGAGATTGAGATGATGACAGTGTTATCTCTAAAAGTATGTCAATGACAAAGTTAAACAAGAATGGGGAGAGTGGACAGCCCTGACGAACGCCACTTGTGGTAATCAGTTCTGATGACAGTTCGCCATAGGCTCTAACTCGACCAGTTGTGCTCGAGTAGAGAGCCTTTATGAGGTTAATGTACTTCTTTGGTACTCCTTTCAGTGACAAACATTGCCATAGAACCTCACGATCAACAGAGTCAAATGCCGCCTTAAGGTCAAGAAATACTACTATTGTGGGACGTCTGAATTTGTGTCTATGTTCTAGAACCTGACGTAGGGTGAATATCTGGTCTATGCAACCACGTCCAGGTCGAAAACCAGCTTGGTTTTCTCTAGTCTGCTCTTCACGAGCTTTGGTTAGGCGACCTAGTATTATTGAAGCTAATATTTTAGACACAATATTAGTCAAACTGATCCCTCTGTGATTGTCACAAGAGGACTTTTGTCCTTTCTTATAGACTGGCACAATCAGTGATTGGGACCAGTCAGATGGAATTACGTCCAGTTCCCAGATGATGAATAAGATACGAAGTGTACACATATATGCTCATATAAAAGTATAGTCAAGGTTAATAAGCAAATAATTAACAAGATCAAAATATGACTCATAATGGATAGGCGAATTGGCTTGGCCAGCAACTAGAATAAAGTATATGGGCTTAACACATAAACTGATACTACAAGGGTACTGGAGCCCATGTGCACCGTTGGTTTGGAATCAGGGTTTTCTAACTCCCCTAGGTTGACAATCCACCAACCCGATTAAAGCGCCGAACATTCGCTTTTCGTCCTCTCAATCTCGTAAACAATACCCGTAGCGCGATAAGGCAGTGAGTAGGACTTCCCTGACAGAGGCTATATAGGCATGGTCATGTGACAGCATTTGGAGAGGGAGAGCGGACTCTCCCCACTCTTGGCCGTACCAGGGCATCTGGAGGCTATGTAACTTAGTCTGTTGCATTATCACAAATCTAAATATTTTAAAGTTACATTTTAAACTATGATCTTCGTGTGTTTAGCATTTTTTTAATACCTTTTTGTTATGAATCTTGTTTGGTCGGTGGAAAATTGGCATCGTCCCACCAAGTCTGAGGTCTTTATCACTTGGTCTGCTTTTATGTAATAACTGTGTAGTGTTTGGAGAGACCTTGGGTAACAATGCACCTTCAGTTTGTTTTGCGTAGAACAGAATTATTCATCATTTTTATCTGCGCCTAAACATTTTATTTCAAACATTACTTTCTAACCTTTCCATTCATTCCCTTTATTAAGAGAGGGTATTTTTTATAACGTTTAATCTTCCTTACTATTATTGATTAAGAAGTTTAACAGTTTGGATTCATGCTTTACATTTACCCCATGTTCTCCATTGTTTATGGTCGATTGACTAGCTAGAGTTAACTCTCTTTATACACTAGAAATATGTGATACCCCGTCCATACACACATTCATTATGTACAATAGAACCTCACCTAACATACTCAGCAGCCTAATTTATGATATCATTAGTGATTATTTGTTTGTTAATCGTTGCTTATCATCGCTTTTTGATTGTATCTCCTTCAGTAATTATATTGTCATGTTGGTTGGGATGGTTAGCGTCCAGTGTTAATCCCACTGTCTATCTGGTTGTTAATTGTAGTCAGCTACTAGATAATGGATAATTTTTTATACTGTTTCATTTGTCATTGACGGTAAGATCAGTTTGTAGATTTTGTAATTGTTAGTATTACATTATCTATGCTGGGTATTGATCACCACTTTGACAAAGCTTACATTTTCGTCCAAAGTCCTACGACTTCATTATTTCAACCTATTAGTTAAAAAAGACTACTAAATTATTTATTTCACAAATATTGTCGGAATGGTAGTGATGGTTTGATGGTTTGTGATAACTCTAGTCATCTCTTTTCAACACTGGAATTCAAGTTTACTGCTTACGGATTGTATCTACTAAATGTTTCGTGTCTTGAAATTGTTAGTTGTTAAATGTTTATGTTTGTGTTATTTAGATTGTTACAGTAATGTGTCATAAGCCACCTTAACCCTTTTATTGTTATTGTCACTTTCACAGCGCGCACCGCTTCACTTCCATCATCTCGTGTCGCTGCCATTAGTGATACTTTAAGTTCCACTGCGGGTGGTGTCGGTGATGAACAATTACAGTTACTTTATCAACAACTTGATGATAAAGATGATGAAATTAATAAACAAGCTCAAACAATTGCTCGTCTTCGACAACAAGTTGAAGAACAAGATGAAATCATCAATACTTTACGTAAAGAACGTGAAGGTCAACTGAAGGAAATCACAAACCTCCAAGTATAATACAATTTTTCGTTTCCTTTGTGCATTTATTTGATAAATCAATTTTTAATACTGTACGCATTTTAGGGTTTAGTTATTTGAGTTAGTTGATTTTTGTCATGCTGTACTTACTTGACTTTCACTATGACTATGATTTTGACACCTCGTTTTTTCATGACACAAACAGTCGTTCGTACATTCAAGAAGAAATATTGAGTAGGAAATGGTGGTGAAAACCAAAGTATCCAGTTCACATAAAGAGACGTAGTCATTTTAAACTGACATAGTTTTTTAGCTTCTCACAACCAGATCTTCCAGTATCCACCTGTTCAGTTTCAATATTGAATATTGTACTTTCACTATTGCACACTTCTACGAGAACACCTTTGCTACTTAAAAGGAGTGAATGTATGACTTGATTTTAAAAAAGTGATACCACATAGTTCGAAAGTAGTAGCAGATGACGTAGTTTTCACACATGATTTTTCCTTGATTTCATCCCTTGATAGTTAGATGTACTCATAGTTTTATTAAACAGTAATTGCTTTGAAATTTACTTAGTATTGTTTGTTTGAATCTTCCCATCGATGTGTTAGGACTGCAACTGGTCAGTCTCTAATTGGCATATATGCATACTATGCGTATTGCCTCGATATAGCCTAAATTCACAAGCATGGTAAGCAAAGATGGATAGTGGCTAGCAGTGGAATCCAGGACGCTCGTTGCACAAGCAAGTGGCTATCAGGACCCAGTGGCCGAGTGGATAACGCGATGGCGTTTGAAGCGATCGGGTACTGGGTTCGAGTCCCAGAGTGAACATCAACTCTGAGATGCAGGTGCATCCAACTGACGAGCCCCAAATAGGACGAAACGCGCGTCAAACTGGATTCCACTGCTAGCCACTATCCATCTTTGCTTAGTAATTGCTTTAGTTTTAAATAGTTAGAGGTAGTCGGTTAGAAATTCTGATTGAACTTTCATTTCGTGTTGTCTGGGATTCACCAGATAATGAGTATCCGAGATGTTACAAAAGATTTGTAGCTTAGATAGATGATTTTGGCAGAATTTCGTTCTCTGAGTTGGATGGTCTAGTCTTGACTTTTTCATTGCTGTTTTGAATAAAATCATCAGCACAAACTTCCAGGTAGAAAATTAAACCATCTAGCTCAGAGAACGTAATTTCAAAATAAATTGCCTACACGGATTCTTAAAGGGAAGTCGTGTCATTCAGCTTCACAGTCTGAGACAATATCATTAAACTATTGAGACCAATGTTGATTGTTTGTGTTTACAGTTTGTTACTGTTATATCTTGCCAATGCCATCGCTAATTGTTGTGTCTTGATCAAGGTCGCCGCTAATTTATTATGACCTTACAATTAACCAAGGACGAAACTCGCGTGAATTATCCACCAATAGAAATACGACTTCTCCGACCTTAACACGGTGACAATCAAGGACGTCCAATCAGTATGAGTAATCTCGCGTCCTAATTGGTCCTTAATCCGCCTAGCCCTTCCAATTGAGTCCAGAACACCAATAGCAGCTTCTGCTATCCGAATGTATGCGAATCTGTACGAATCGTTTATTTCAAGCATACTTTGTTTATATACCAGACAGACAGACCACATCACACCATAAAATTATAAGTAATATTTGTACAAAACCAAGCCAAATGTGGCTGTGAGCATGGGATACAATAATCAACAAACTGAGTATAATTTAGGGACAATAATTCGTATAATAATAATTCATAGGTCAAAATGAAGCTTATAATAAGGTGAATATAGATATACACAATCTAATTACTCAATAGTTATCCAATAAGAATAATACTCCAATAATAGGTCCTGGGAGTTACTTGTACTTATGTCTTCTCTAGGATATGACAGTTACTCTCCTTCCGTTTTTACTCGGTCACTTATTCTGTCGTTTTTTTTTAAATCTTTAGGCTGAATATCAGTCAAGTAAAGAAGAGGTTAAGGAAGTTTTACAAGCTTTAGAAGAATTAGCTATGAATTATGATCAAAAAGCACAAGAGATTGCTTCAAAAGCAAAAGAATTAGAAGATGTCCAAGAATCTTTATTAAAACAGACAAGATTAATGCATAGTAAAGATGGTGAATTATCTCAATTAAAAGATACACATCAAAATCAAAAGAAGAAATATACTGAAATGATGTCAAGTTTATTAAAAGATTTAATTGATGTTGGTGAATGTCTGAATGATCAGTTGACGGTAGGTTTACATTTATATATATATATATATATATATATATATATACTTTTACATGTCATTTGGTGAGTATGGTTAGGTAGAATCTGGTACGAATATGCACTGGTTCGAACTACCACCCATCACATGATCAGGATGAATACCAAAGTGGTAATATCAATGATAGTAAGAAATGCTTTATGGTGTAGGAGTAGATTGGAAGAAAGCTAGGGGCGGCCAGACCGAAACGTGACATAAATCCATGAAGTCACTGACAAGTGGACTGAACTATGTTGGTAGGTGTAGACTACCTGGTTGGGATCCGCGAGATGATACCAATCGTTGGTTAGAGACCTTGAATGACATTGCTGAAAATCGTTTGCAATGGCGAAGGTGCATCCACTCTTTGTGTTCTCCCAAATTTCAATCTTCTGAATTCCTCATGTCCCTATCCATTTTCTCTTCCCAAATTAATCTCACTGTATTATACTCCTTCAATAATATCTTCAAACCCTAATCTTTCACATAATGCTTATACTCTTACTACTTCTATCATTATGGGATTTGAATCGACAACTGCATCTCTGTGCTATTGTGGTATGACAACTCGAACTGATGTATGTACGTACGAAGTTCTACGTTGTGACTGACTGACTGATTGTGGATAGGTAGGTTTTGGCACAAATATGCACTGGTTTGAACTGCCACCCATGACATGGTCAGGATGATGAATACCAAAGTGGTAATATCAATGATAGTAAAAAAGATTAGGTATAGGAAATATTATTTTAGAAGAATGAATGCATTCACAAAATAGAAAATGTAAGATATTGTTAAAACTCAAAATTCAGGGGACGACAAGGAGTAAATATATCTACGTCATCACTATCAATTCTAACCCACGTCATCCAATGTTTACAACCACGGATCATGATAATTCCCCACACTCACCCAGCAGGGTAACTTAGAGTAACATTTATCGACTTCACGGCACAAGTGTGTATCCGTCTAAGTTTAAAACAAATAAATGCTATTGAAGGACTAATAAATCACTTTAAATCTATACCGTCCGTAGGAACGAAGTTTACTTACTTGAAGATTGATGAATTTATTTTATTTTATTTAAACACATAAATATTGGTACAAAGAAGCACCAGATAAATATGCGCCTCACAAATCTCATTCGATTTGTGTGAGGGCTGTGATACCACCCAGGGGCCCAGACTGAAGCAGTGAAGATTGATGAATGATAAAGATGATTCCATGAGATTTCTATGATTTTGACTTAGTTTATTTTTTGACCAATCTTCAATTTGTTGTGAATATAAACTTCACAGTCAAAGATTTTTCTTTCAACAACATCATCTTTAAAGAATATATTATATGAACATTTAACTATCAGAGTAACTTTTAGTGACGATTAAACATTCAACTTTCATCTAGTATTGTTTGAAGCTTCCCATCGATGTGTTGGGAATGCAGCTGGTCAGTCTCTAATTGGCTTATGTGCGTATTGCCTCGATATAGCCTTAATTCACAATCATTATAAGCAAATAGTGGTTAGCAGTAGAATCTAGTTTGACGCGCGTTTCGTCCTATTTGGGACTCTTCAGCTGGATGTACCTACATCCCACAGTATGCACATATGCCATTTAGAGACTGACCAGTTGCAGTCCTAACACATCGATGAGAAGATTCAAACAAACAATACTAAATGAAACTAAACTTTACCCCATCGCACAAGCAAGTGGCTATCAGGACTCAGTGGCCGTGTGGATAACGCGATGGCGTTTGAAGCGATCGGGTACTGGGTTCGAGTCCCAGAGTGAACATCAACTCTGAGATGCAGGTGCATCCAACTGACGAGTCCCAAATAAGACAAAACACGTTTCCTGGATTCCACTGCTAGCCACTATCCATCTTTGCTTACCATTCAACTTTCAATCATCTAGTTACAGATTCCAACTTTATCTCACCTGTCTCGGTTTAAGCAGCTGAGTTCTATCACTAGAGTGTTCACACTGAAAAGAACATTATAGTTTAAAACCCTGAGTACTTGAACACCAGGTAGAAAAAAACTATTCTCAATTATATTGGAAAGCGTTGAACATATAGTGTTCATATGTGAAGAAATCCTTTTTGTCACACGTATGTGAAATCGTTTACCTCACTGATTCACACAAATTAAATTGATATGTATTTTTGATTACTCTTAATCGATTAATCGATCAATCAGTAAGTGTCTTCACCCTGTTCTATTGCTATGCTATTATAAAAATGAGAAAAAAATGTAGTCATAGTACACTCAATGTACTAGCTTTACTAGCTCTCTCTCTCTCTGTGTATGTTTATGTGAGTGTTTGTGGAAAGAGAGAAAGAAAGCTTATATATATATATAGTTGAAGTGACTTTTAAATAATGTAATTGTATACATTTTCAAGAGAAGTAAATCCAATATGCAAAAATGCAGAAAGACTTGTCCCCAGCTGGTGATAAGTTTCTTTATGTACATGTAAACTATTTCTTACTTCATTTCATCAAATTGATTCATTAGTTGATTGTTTCACATGCTCATATATACACTTTTGAATATGTTGTTTGCTTGTTTGTCTGGAAATGCTCTCACACGGCCACGCGTATATAGCCTCTGACAGGGAAGTCCTACTCACTACCTTCTCGTGACTGGGGTGTTGTTCACGAAAGTGAGAGGACTAAAAGCGAACGTCCTTCGCTTTAACCGGGTTGGTGGGCACAGGAAGTCCACCTAGGGGAGTTGGAAAACCCTCATTCCAAACCGATGGTGCACATAGGCTCCAGTATCCTGCTGAGGGGACAAATGGCTTATGAATCAATCGTTGGTGACTGGCTACCACGTGACTGCATCTCCTTAAGATGCTCCTGCACTGCCTTGTGGATCAGACCTTTGGGTCAAAGGGTGTTAACCCCTAAGAAAACCACTTGCTTCGGTATGGACAGCCGAGAAGTATCACAGCCCTCACACAAATCAAATGAGATTTGTACGGCGCACATGTATCTGGTGCTTTTTTGTACCAAAATTTGTGTTTAAATAATAATAATAATAATAATAATACTATCATCTACCTCCAAGGTGTGCAGTAGTGATTAGCAGAAGATAGATAACCTTAAAAGTCGGTTATTGCAAGCCAGACCATACATGTCGCATAATCCTATCAACTCATTGATTAATCTAACTGGCTAACTCCAAGATTAACGTTCTTGTGTCATAATAGTAACAATAATAACAGTATTATTAGTCATTACCTTAAGTCATAGTAGTGGTAAGGCTGTAAATTGACTGCATTATTCCATTTTCGTTCATTTCCTAAATATTAAGTTTCACTATTATTTCATACATACTCTTTCTATTTGAACCATTATCTTTTGAATATCCTTAAATGTTATTTATTCTTTCAATTCTTGTTTTATTATACATCTTGTTATTTTCATATTGTATTGAATTAATGTGTACAATATGTCAAGTTGAATAGGTCTTGAGTGCTACCATAACCAATGGTTAGAGACTCTAGGTGACATGACTCAGAATCGATCACAATGGTGTAGGTGTATACACTCTTTATTTTTCCTTAAACCTTGAGATTAAAATTACTTCATAACTTTTTTCCTTCCTATACTATATCCTATATCCTTATATATACAACTTGTACCGATGCATATATGTCCCTGATCCTACGTTGTAGCTGACTGATATGTGAAGTTAGTTTCGATTGTGTTTTAATTGATTAGTTATTATTTACGAAAGTGCTAAGTTGTCCCACAATAGGACTAAACGGCCGTTCCAGGCTTTCTACGATGGTCTAGCTTCAATTGACTCATGATCTTAACTATAGAAAATGCTAAGCATTGATTAGGATTTCTACGTGTTATTATAACGTTAATTTAATACAATATCATAGTGATTGACTTTCAACTAGTTGGTAGTTGTTTATTACATATTTAAACTCCATTTCACCTATTTTAGTTCGACGTATTACGATTATGTATTCATTAGCTCTTCATTTTACATATTGAGTCAGTATAGTCGTTACATAGGATGAACGTATCGTCCATATATTGGCAGTAAAATTAAAACTTTTCAATCTGTTGTGTCAGTGGGTCGTTTTCTAGTTTCATGAGAAAAAATATCAGCCAATATGGGAACTAGGGGTAAACCCATCGTGATACCATCTATTTGTCTGTAGATTTCACCATTGAGTTTGAAATGTAAATTCGTGTTTTTTTTACAGTTGTGTATTAATTAATAAAAAAATGCTTTGTTTTCTTCGTCTTCATATATCATAATAGAAACCATCTGTTGGCGCTGAACGATTAGATGAAGAATTCACTGTAGTTCGTTTATATATAAGTAAAATGAAAACTGAAGCAAAATCATTACAATCCCGTGTACGTCAATTAGAAGAAGAACGTGTTCAACATGTACAATTAATGCGTAAAAGTGATGATGAATCCAAAGATCTACGTACAAGACTTCATGCTGTAAGTTATATTCATTGTTGATTATTTTTATTATTACTATTATTATTAATTCATTTCTGCCATTATATATATATATATATATATATATATATATATATATATATATATATATATATATATATTGCTGAAATGGTTGTTCAACTTCGTTGATTAGTTGAAGTTAGACATTAACACCGTTGGATGCCGGTTAAGTGCTCTGGTGCGAGACTGGTAGGTTCGGGGTTCGAATCTCGCTCGCGAGGCGGGATCTTGGATGCTCACTGCTTAGGAGTCCCACAATAGGACGAAAAGGCCGTCCAGTGCTTCCAGATTTTCCATGGTGGTCTAGCTTCAATTGACTGATGATTTCAACTATATATATAAAAATATCCCTGATTTGTCAATCAAATAGGTAAGTAGAAGTACTTACTGAACAATCGTTCCATCCTTTAATGTAAACGATTTAAAATTTTACTACTAATAACACTACTATATTCCGATAATGCAATGAGAAGACGAAGTTTATCAGAAAACTGGAAACTGATTAATTACAGTTTTAAAGACAAACAACAACAAGAAATCAAAAAAACCACCATCACCAGTATAAGCTTGGTGGTCTAACTTAGATTGTTTCACAATCTCTATGATATCCATTGCTACTTATTTTCATTTTTAACTTCATATTTCAAGGAATAAAAGTTCCTTGCTAGGATTTTGACTAAATTTTATTTGAACACATAAATATTGGTACAAACGGACACCAAATACATATGCGCCACACAAATCTCATTTGATTTGTGTGAGGACTGTGATACTGCCCATGTGCCCAAACTGAAGCAGGTATTTTTCTCAAGGGACCACACCCGAAGCCTTTGACCTCAAAATCTCATCCACAAGGCAGTGGGGCATCGTAAGGAGATGCAGTCTCATGGTAGCCGGTCACCAACGATTGATTCGTACGCCATTTGTTACCTCAGGATACTGGAGCCAGCCCATGTGCACCATTGGTTTGGAATCAGGGGTTTTCAAATTTCCTTTATGGTTCTTCTGTATCCACCAACCCGGTTAAAGCGCCAGACATTCGCTTTTCGTCCTCTCAATTTGGTAAACAACAATAATGCCACTGTGAGAAAGCAGTGAGTAGAATTTTCTTGAAAGAGGCTATATACTTGTGACCATGTGAGAGCATTTCGAGAGGGAGAGTGGACTCTTTCCACTCTCGGCCGTACCAGGGTATTTGGGAACATTTTGACAAAATACATCTAATCTGTGTAGTCTAATTCCTTATATTTTGTCGAATTTTTTTAATTTTTCTTTCGGAAGTCTGAATCTATGTATGCATCTCCTAGAGTAAAAAAATCTATTTGTCCAACATTTTCACTATTTTTTTTGTAGTTTGAAGTAAAAATTGCCACATTAACCGATAAAATTGATGAATCCGAATCACGTAAACGTCATTTACAAGAAACTGTTGATAATATGAATGCAGAAATAGCAAAACTTCGTGCCAATGAACAATTTATGTCTGGTTCAGGTGAACAAAACGAAAAAATTCTATCTGGACAATCAGCTATACGAGCTAAATTAGATGAAGAATTTAAACGTCAATCAGAACATTATGCTGCACAAGTAAAAAGTTTACGTGATGAATTAGATGAAAAACAGAAAAAATTAGAAGAATACAAAGAGTAAGTTTTTTTATGACATTGCATATACTGTAGGTTTTTGATCATAGGTACCTTCAAAGGAATGTTTGCGTTTCGCGAAATAACCCAATGAACAGTATGAAGATTAAGGCGGCCTGTTTAAACATCTGGGCTACCTGTTCCTGTCATCTAGATATTTCAACAAGTCATCTAATTTCGTGCGTTTACGAAAAGTGTAAGACCTTTCGCTGTAAAGTTTACAGAAGGCCTAATCAGAGATATCGTGTTTTCTGGCAATATGCAGTGAGAAGAACGTACAATATCCAGATGTCGATTGACTAGGCTGCTAACTGGCGATCACTCAATATTTATCGTCAGGAGGAACGAAGAAGTAGGAAACGGAAACTTGTTGAAGTACTTTGTGCCGAGAATTCTATATTGTACCAAAAATATAGTATTGAATAAAGCTAATAATAATAATAATAATAATAATAATAATAATAATAATAATAATTAGGCAAAGATGCTAGATCAATTGTTGAGGTAGTGAATGTTCGTTGACTGAGATGCTTAGGACATGTGTAACATATCCCTAACTACTGTCAATGTTGACTGGGGATGTCAGTATGTGTAGGAGGAGTAATTTGGATGGAATCTCATGGTAACCAACCAAAATCTGTCATCAGTCCAAAAAGTCATGACTACTGGTTTGAACCATTACTGTTAATGGAGACTATCTGAAACGGATTCGCGCGACAATCACAACCAGTGGTTGGAGACGTTGATGGATATGGCTGAAAAACAGTCACCATGGCACCTGATGTGTTCATCCTCGACTTTAAATTCCAGCATTCCTTCACTGAATGTTTCCGAATCACATTCCCTTTATCACTAATGCCACAATTATTCTGACTCTTGTTACTCATCTTGTTAATTTTATCTAATCGTACTAATCAGATGTGGGTATTCGGTTGACGCTCATTTGTGCCAGGCTCTACATTGATTATAACTTACTTGATGTGAAAGGAGAGAGGTTTTCCCAAAGCATATAAAATAAGTGTGGTTGGAATAAGTCAAAATCAACCTAGTGGTTTATGCGTATGTGTCTATCGGTCCAATGTTCTCACATAGATTTGTCACAGTTGAATAAAGTAAACGCAATGTATAGCAAAAGAGCATTAGTATCTGTATAGCAGTGTCTGCGATTGTGAAAACAATCAAAGAATCAATACACCTGTGCGACTTCAGTTAATTATAAGTTATGATAATTAAAGTCTACACCCTTTGGCCACGATTATCGTCCAGATGCCAACATAAATGCATATACCTACCAACAAGACACTAATCAGTGGTCTCTAGTTTCATGGACTGAATGCACTAAAGCCCCTAAATTTCTTCCGTCCTACTCTAGCACCAGTCCCTATAATTTGTCAAGTAGACGATAGCTTGGCATGTGTATGGCAATAAATCATTTTACATTGCCGCGGTGACTAATTAAATCTCTAGATTTTCATAAAAGGTACTAAGTTCTAACTCACTGAATCTGAGCGTTTGTTCTTAAACCTGAAATTCCTAGGTTCGGTTCCCGATGGGTTTATGGATGATTAATGTTAAGGAATCTCATCCTAGGACAAGACAGCTGTTCAGTTCTTCCTAGTTCCCAATTTTTGTCTAAATAAAGTCCACCAGTGATGCAAATTATAAAATAAGGTGACTCTTTTGTTTAAGAAACATCAAGTCTTCATCAGTTAAGTGCTCTGGTGCGAGACTGGTAAGTCCTGGATTCGAATCTCGCAAGTGTAGGATCGTGAATGCGCACTGCTGAGGGGTCCCATAATAGGACGAAACAGCCGTCCAATGCTTCCATATTTTCCATGGTAGTCTAACTTCAATTGACTCGTGATTTCAACTTTGAAGAGTCTTCATTTATTGATGGTGAATCGATTGATGAAGTAGTGAAACTTCATCAGTTGAGATGGCTGGGACATGTGTTACGTATGCCCAACCACCTACTGCCCCGACGTGCAATGCTTTACGGCGTAGGAGCAGGTTGGAAGAAAGTTAGGGGCGGCCAGACCAAAACGTGACATAAATCCATGAAATCACTGACAAGTGGACTGAGCCATGTTGGTAGGTGTAGACTACCTGGTTGGGATTCGCGAGATGATAGCAACCGATTGTTAGAGACTTTGAATGACATGGCTCAAAATCGTTTGCGATGGCAAAAGTGCATACACTCTTTGTGTTCTGCCAAATTCTAACCTTTTGAATTCTTCATGTTCCTATCCTTTTTCTCTTTCCAAATTTATTTCACTGTATTATACTCCTTCAATAACACCTTCAAACCCTAATCTTTCACATAATGCTTATACTCTTACTACTTCTACCACTATGGGATTTGAATCGACAACTTCATCTCTGTGTTAATGTGGTATAGCAACTCGAACTGATGTACGTACGTACGAAGTTCTACGTTGTTACTAACTGACTGACTCATTTATTGAACATAAACTACGTTTTTTGATATTATTCATATTTGTTGATAAGCTAAACTGTCAATTCATTAATTGTTGTTTCTTCTTCACCTATCTAACCTTTTTTCTATAGTGAAGCAAATAATTTCAAATTCCAATCAGAAAAATCTCAAGAAGAAGTGACACGTTTACGTGAAGAATTAGAGAATAAAACTACACGATTGGAAACATTAGAGAAAACTACAGAGAAACGTGAACAAGCAAAAGAAGATCTACGCGGTTTAGAAGAGACTGTTATTAAAGAATTACAAACATTGCATAATCTACGACGTTTATTCATACAAGATCTTAATTGTCGAATTAAAAAAGTTAGAGTTCCCCCCATTATTCTTGTGTTTTGTAAATGATAATCTATCTTCATAGTTGAAATCATGAGTCAATTGAAGCTAGGCCACTATGGAAAACCTGGAAGCACTGGACGACCGTTTCATCCTATTATAGGACTCCTCAGCAGTGCACATCCACGATCCCACACTCGCGAGATTCGAATTCAGGACCTACCAGTCTCGCGCACTGCTAAGGAGTCCCATCGATTTGTGCCACCTTTTGGCACAAATCCATAAAGTCACATTTTACATAATCTCAGACACACTAATATCATTTTATACCAGCATTCTTCATGTTACGTGCAGCAATTTTATCAACCGATTATAACTGCATTCTGGTCATCATGAATATCTACTTCATAATGTATGGCTACTTGAGAACTAATCGAATAAGTCAATTTTTCTCCTCATAATTTACTTCTTGGGGGAAAAGTTTTTATTTCTGTAGCCATGAACAATGCTGTTTGTTAGCTAGAAGCGTAAAGACCTTAGGTATTCACTTTCATCCATCTTTTCCACATCATCGATGACTTTGGTATCGAATTAAATAAATTAAATTAAATTAAAAAATTAAAGTTATTACAATATGTCAACTATAGCACTCATTGTGTGTAGAGTTATGATGTTGAGGCTAATCAAGCATAAAAACAACCACATACAACGATTAGATTTCCTGTCGCCAATCGATCGACACAGCTATCCTTCAAGTTGAATGCGACCTTGAAAATAACCAACCAAATTATTCCGTATTATTGATGGTAATTCAGGAGAGGTTAAATATTTGTCAGTAGATCATAAAGCAATTAAATCTTTACAACTAGGACAATATAGAAAATACCATATCAGTCAGTTATACATAAAATAGGACCTGGTAAATGTGTACACCGGTTCAAGTTACCAGCATATATTAAACATTTAGTAACTACACAATTATAATTTCCCCGTGAATACAAATCCCATCCGTTGTTTAATAATCCTGCTGTTTCCATCAGCGGTAATACTTTTCTAATCCTTCTTTTTTTGACCTTCTTTATTAAGTCTGCCAATCGTGTAAATGCGTTAACTGCAGCTGAAAAAGCCACTGCTAATAATAATAGTAATAATAATACTAACCAAGGTGGTAATAATACACCGAATGCTGCTGGTGGTATACCAGGACAACAACAAATCTCTGAAAGTCTACTTATGGATGATGACGATGATGATGAACCAATTCAAGTTGGTACATTAGCACAACGTGAAAAAATTGCATTTCTTGAAAATAATTTAGATAAATTAACAAAAGTACATAAACAACTTGTTCATGATAATGCAGAATTACGTTGTGAATTACCGAAAATGGAAAAACGTTTAAAGGTTAGTTAGTTTTGTAAATGTATACAATCCATGGGTTTCTTTTTTTTTCGTAAAATCATACATCCTCATTTGCTGTCTATATATTTATGTGATGGGCATAGGATTTCTGACAATACTCCTGGCGTGTGCACCTGTTTACGGTCAGTTGGTCACAATGTAGAACTTGATACGTATGTGCATCAATTCAAGTTACCAAAACCCATTCACACAGAGAAGAAATTTCAGCCCAAACCCCTAGCTTAGTTGAGGTAGTAACAGTATCAGTGGTGTTACGAAATATTCAGAGTCGAAGATACGATTCACGAAATAACAAGAAAAGCTCTGAGGAATACACAAGTTCAGAATTTTCGGGAAGATAGTAAATGAATGCACCTGCGCCATTGCAAACGATTTTGAACCATTTCATTCAAGTCTCTACCACTTGGTTACGATAATCACGCGTACACTAAGCAGGTAGCCTACACCTATTAACAAAACTCAGTTCAATTGCCAACGACTTCATGAACTTTCTTGAAACCTATCCCTACATCAGAAAACATGTGCCGTCGAGGTAGATGGTGATTGTGCATACGTAACACATATGCCAACCAGCTTAGTTGATGAAGACTCACCACTGATTTGATTGATTTGCCATCTTTACTTAGTAGTCCATTCTTAATCCAGACATCGGTTACTTCGTGGTTCCAAAATACACCAGATATACTTCTAAGATACCTAACATGGGAATATCCTCTGTTTTTAATCATGTTTCACACCTATAAGTCAGGGTGAAGCGAAATGCTGAACAGTGAACTGGTAATTTGATTAGCAGACGGATATGTTGCCCACATCACAAGTGATGCAAGTTGCTAAAAGCCTACTGAATCTTCTGAATCTGTACCGAGATCTGAAACAACGGAATATCGAGACTGATGAGGCTCACAAAAAAAGTGAAGTGGTCGACACGCCCAACGTCTCCACAAATATCGTCGATTCACTTCTAGATCAGCTTTTGAATTTGTAATAGGGAGGTTTGACGAATGTAGTTCAATCGTTTTTAGAGTCGAGTTATAATTATTGTCTTAATAATATCAACTGTTGAATTTATTATTGAAAAAAACACAAACTATAAATATTTTATCAGAAGGGGGTTTTTGTGGAGATTTATTATTCTCATAGTTGAAAGCGTGAGTCAATTGAAGCTAGACCACTAGGGAAAACCTGAAGGCACTGTACGGCCGTTTCGTCTTATTGTGGGACTCCTCAACAGTGCTGAGTAATATTTGCCCTTTTTTGTGTTCGAGTTCACCATGTTAATGTTCTATGGTGTAAACTGCCTTTTTTTTACTGTCCGACAAAATTTTTTGCTGTGGACTTGGTAGGTTTTACCAGCTAATTCCTATCTCGATGATTCTGATATATGCATTTATATATACCTAAGTATAAAATATAGGATTTTAATTAAGACTTTTTTCATTAACTATTTTCCAGAGTACCTTGGAACGTGTACGTAGTTTAGAATTATCATTGAAAGAAGCTAAAGAAGGTGCTATGCGTGATCGTAAACGTTATCAAGTTGAAGTGGAACGAATAAAAGAAGTTGTACGTCAACGTAATGTTACAGCACGTCGTGGTCAATCACAAATAGCTAAACCAATACGTGCTGGACATGCTCCAATTACTAATCTTCATGGTGTTGGTGGTGCATCAATTAATTCACAACCAGTTGTACGACCAGATCTTCTCGGTGCACCATGATCATAATACTGATATTATTTTTGTCTGTGTTTAACGTTTCTCTCTTTATCTGTCATTCATTTGAATTCACTTGGTATACATAAAGAATATATATATATATATACATATTCAATATATTGGGAAAAACTTGATCTATTCACTGCTTATATACACAGATAGGAATTCAATTAGGTAATGCGTATACATACATTAGAACATATGGAACAAATATATCAGTTATGTAATCGTATCTAAGTACAACAATACATATGTAACTCTTTTCAAATTATCATCATTGTTTTTTTTAAATTTTTAATCATAGCAACTGCACATTATCTCTTTTACACACACACACCCATACCCACACATCCACACTATGAGCCTTATAAACAAAACAAAAAATATGTTTTATGTATATTCATCCCCCCCCGGTGTTTTGGTAGTCCATTTCTTTCATTGAGTTCACTCATTCATTAATATATTTTGTTTGTTTGTTTTTGGTTTATCATTCATGATAAGTTAGCCATGACTCTAATCGAGTAACAATAACCAGTTGACTGGACTATTCTCTGTTATTATTATTGTATGCATAGGTGTGTGTGTGTGTGCAAGAGCACTCTGCTTTGCTTATTGTGCCTATACTTAAATGTTCATTATTGACTTTTAAAGTTTTATTGTTTTCGTTACCTTTTCTATCTTCTATGACTTTATAAGTTTAATATAGTTTTATGTACTACTGATAAATAGTAGTATTAGTAGTGGGAATCGGGATGATAATGATGTTATATTTTCTTATTTGAATTTCTGCGCCATACACACTTATATATGCTGTGAATTCATGAATTATTCATCATCCTTCTTCTTCTATGGATGAATTGTGGTAAGCAAAGAAAAACAAAGGTGAAGCAACGATAATGATGTGTTTGGCGGTAACCAAAAAATGAGAGTAGTAATGATATCAAGTAATCTACAATATGTTCACATGAATATACTAACACACACACACATTTGTGTATGTATCATATATTTTGTTTCTTTTTTTGGTATGTGCATGTACGTGATGTTGTATACACATTCAATGCTTGATTACATCAATAGGGACGGTTGTTTCCCTTTATTGACAATAACAAGTAAGAATAAATTGATTCCTCTGAATATCGATCAAACTCAATTGGTTTTTTCATCAGCTGTCTCAATGAATACTGTCTTGATCATCATTATCAGTGAATGTGTAATGCTTAGTGAACTAATTATACATGCATACTTACATACAGTTTGATGGCTTTATTCTATTTTGTTGGATGTATCTTTTGTGTACGTTTTCTCTCTTTGTTTTGTTTTTTCCTTCTTTCCACATGAAATAGAAGAATAATGGTTCACATAATAATGATAATAATAATGCCGCTTATTGTTACTGCTAGCAGTCAATAAGAGAAATAAAATGTGATAATTTAATCATTTCGGTTTGTTGTTACATCTTTCTGCCTGTTTCACGTTTCCTTTATCAAATGATATATATATATATATATAACGGTGAATAACAAGTCGTGACCAGTGCAGTAATTACGACGCTCTAACCAACTAAGCTACCGGAGCACGGAAAGTTCACTTATGGGAGTTGGAAAACCCTCATTCCAAACCAGTGGTGCACGTGGGATTCAGTATCTTGCGGAAACAAATGGCGTATGAATCAATTGTTGGTCACCGACTACCATGAGACTGCATCTCCTTACGATACTCCACTGCCTTGTGGAACAGATCTTTACGTCAAAGGCTCGGGGTATGGCCCCTTAAGTAAACCACCTGTTTCGGTTTGGGCACCTAGGCAGTATCAGTCCTCACACAAATCGAATGAGATTTGTGCGGCGCATATTTATCTAGTGCTTCCTTGTACCAATATTTATGTGTTTAAATAAAATAAAGACCAGTGGAGTTCAGTCGTGTCGAATGTCAGACAGTTACCCATCGAATACAATGGAAGATGGTCTTGTAACATTGTGGATTGGTTGAAGTTAAATGTTGATACCATTAGATCCCGGCTCATTGGTCTAGAAGTTAAGCGTTCGCATGCGAGACCAAAGGTCCTTGGTTTGAATCTCGCCTACGTAGTCATGTATATGTATTTCTAAGGTGTTCCATACTAGTGCAAAACGGCCGTTTAGTTCTTCCAAGTTTCCAATAGTGGTCAAACATCGTTCGATTCATGATATCAATGAAATAATAACATAATTGTGACGATTTTTGAGGATATCAAGTTGTTTTGTTTCAATTTCTATTGTCATACTTCTAATTGTTCGGCTTAAATAGTTGTCATGTTTTCTTAACAGAACTCACCCAATCAAATATACAGATTGAAAGTAAACTAACCATTTGTTGGTTATTCATTGTAGATCACTTGTAAACCATTTGTTTTAACGTACAACCATTTATTACATTGTTTAATGACAAGTATTGCTTAACTTGATCTAACATCAATGAAGTTACAAGTCGATATGAGTGGTTAGTGTTGGAGCGTTCATTGTGATTTTTCTCGGCGTTTTCTTTTGAATTTCTACTTACGGTGTGAGATTATTACTATCATCTCTGGATCGGTAGTTTACTAAATTAAGATAAGTGTATTGAATAATATAAGATATTATTATACGGTGGTGGTTAGGGTTAGTAGGCAGGAAGCCCTAAACCTAGGTTCCGTCCTGTTTGGCACTTGTCAGCGAAGTATACCTATAATATTGAGGGAACTGATGCTCCCTACGTAATTTTATTTCGTGTCGCCCAGCTTCACAATCAGACGTTACCAATGATCTATCCGAGTCGCAACTGACCAGTAGTAAGACTGAGCTGTATTTACAATTGATTGTTCACTAGTAACCAATGTCATGTGTGGTAGGTCTTTCTTAGTGCAGATCAAGTTGGAATATGGCCACTAGTCTGGATAACTCGGCATCGCGTACACTATGTTGAGATGTAAGGTAGTGTTTGGAGGCAGTCGATATAGTACATACGATTTCGGGTCACCTTATTTATTATTTATTTAAACACAAATATTGGTACAATGAAGCACCAGATAAATATGCGCCTCACAAATCTCATTCGATTTGTGTGAGGGCTGTGATACTGCCCAGGTGCCCAGACTGAAGCAGGGTCACCTAGGCTAGTAGTCACCTTCAACTAGGTTGATAATATTCGATCTGGACTAAGGATCTTACATACATGACATTGGCCAATACTTTGTGGTCAATCAGTTGTAAATGTCAGTATACACGAATTCATTAATTTTTCATGCTTCTATAGTCTATTGATAAGGATTTTTAGTGGAGCCACCAACTTGCAAGGAAATACTGTAGGCGCGCGTAATATTTGTAATCGGTGATCATTTTTTAGATTTCATTCGCTTCTTCAAAATTATGTAGCTTTTCTTTGCTCCTTTTCACTTTACATCTCTTCGTCGTGTGATCACTTGGGCCAACAAATATTCGTGTTAAATTACACGTTTGTAAGTGGGGATCGATTAGCCCAGCATCATAATTGTAGCTTTATTGACACTGAAACTCAACTTATTTACCGGAGTTCTGTTGTATAACGATTAATAATACTATCAAAGAGCTGTTCGAATAAAATCACGCGAAACCGGGTTGGAATTTGCATTAGTTAGCTACAACGTAGGACCAGGCACATATATGCATCGGTACAAGTTGTCATACCTCATTAGCACAACAAGATGAACACCGGATTCATAGTAGTTAATTTAATGGTTGTAGTATATAAAAGAAAGGTGGTATATAAGGATATAATACAAGAAGGAAGACAGATATGAAGCTATTTTAATCTCAAGGTTTAAGGGAAGATAAAGAGTGTATACACCTGCGCCATTGAGATCGATTCTGAGACATGTTACCTAGAGTCTCTAACCATTCGTTACGATAGTCACACGGACCCCAACCAAGTAGTCTGCATGTACCAACATGGCTCAGACTAAAGGTTAGTGATTTCGAGGACTGATGCCAAGTTTTGGTTTGGCCGCCCCTAACTCTCTTCCAAGCATCTTCAATACTAGTCAGCAAAGTGCGTAGTGGTAATCGGTGTTCAGGCATACGTAACACGTGAGCCAACCATCTCAGTTGATGCTAGGCTCTTCAACTTCCAAGCTGCTCATTTAATTGATTGAAACTTAAATAACACAGGTTTGATACTATATACTATGAAGCATAATCATTATTCCGAACTCATATTTACCTACACAATCCTACCATTTTAGTCAGTATACGGTAAGATCTACCAAGGAATGAACCAATTCACTATTAAACTACCATATTGAATATTACATAGACGTTTAAATACATTAGAATATCCCTTTTTTTCAAAAAAAAACCTTGAATATGTTTCCAATAATAAGTTAACTTGAGATAAGATGGTGGTTGGAGGTGGTCAACAGGAAACCCTGGACCTGGCTTTCGTGCTACTTGGCACTCATCAGCAAGATGTACCTATAATCTTGAGGGAACTGGTGCTCCCTGACGGATTCGATCCTGCATCATTCAGCTTCACAGTTAACTTGATCAATATACGTACTAACTCCCCGGATATTGTTTTTTAAAACACCTGATTAACCTATGCCAAATGTATTGATCCGTCTAAATTCATACATTCTTATTGAATTTAAAAAATACCCTAATTTGAACCAAGTTAAATACTTGAATTATGTGAATTATGGATTGGTAATAAAGAACAATCTAATTCAATAAATTGAGTTAGTAACTATGACGTTTAAATGTTCACTTTTTTTTCTTCATTTCAATACGCCTTAAATGTTAAGTCAGATAGATTTCATATGATAAAAGGACTTTAGTGACGACATTCAATAATGTAAAATTCTTGATTTGACATAGTGTTCAATAGGTGAATCGTTAATATTTAGTGCTCTAGTTATATACTACTTATAAATCAATAATGCCCAAACAATAACTAGGCTTTTATATAGTTAAGATCATGAGTCAATTGAAGCTAAACCACCATGAAAAACCTGGAAGCACTGGACGGCCGTTTCGTCGTATTTTGGGACTCGTCAGTGGAGTGCACATCCACGATCCTGAATCGCGGTTGTAGAGAGTGTGGGTACACACTGCTGACGAAGGACAGTTCCAAATTATATAAAAGCTCTATCAAGTACTCACTAACTGATGTCAGTCATGGATTTCAATCATTTTCAAAAACTGAACCTAGCACTACAAAATCCTCTGGTACAGACGAGATCCGCTCTCCTTTTGGAAATAACCGCATGCACATATGCATTCAGTCTGCCAAGGAAGTCCCACTATCTTCAGACGAGTGTTTTTTGCGAAAGTGAGAGGAAGAAATGAGTGAGCCTGATCCTTAAACGCGGTTGAATGCAGAGGGTCCACCTGAAGGGAGTTGGAATGCCTTGGTTGCAAGACAAGAGTGTACATTGACTCCAGAATCCTAAGCGAACGAATGACGTATTAACGTACGTTGGTCCCCAGCTCCTATGGTACTGGATCAGTTGACAACCCTCTACTTTCTGGAGCATTAAGACTTTAAGTCAAAGGTTCGGTGAGTCGCCGCTTAAAAATATTGTTTCTACTTGTTTGTCCAAACCATAACTAGGCCATATTCACTTGTAGTAATGGATTATAAAACTTGTATAAATCATCCAGTCAAATAAAGAAAAACTTTCAGATAGATAGAAAATATGCGAACAAGCTTTTGATTTATACGAATATTCGTCAAGGTTAGAACGAATAGTTTGATGTTTTTGAACTTAATGAACGCTACTGTCATTGTTACACAACAAAGGAAGTCATTTTAATAACGATATCGATTCGCTCTCCCAGGACCACTGAACTTCAGTTTTATTACTGGGAAAATACTTCAACCTGAAAAAGCTTTAACGCCTTTTTAGTATCAGAAAGCAAAGACAAGTTTGTAGTAAAATCCATTCAATTTCTGAACATGTACCAATATCTTCCTAGTTGTACTTCAAGATAACTGCTACACGGTTTCGTCATCACACTATGTTTTCTTCAACAAACTGAACACTGTCATGTTTGCTTCCGTAGACTTCATATTATGCATGATTTATCATATAAATGGAAATTCTCAGTTTAAAGTAATCTGGAAGTGTATACCAACTTCTTATTATTATCATCATTAATTAGGAATAAATTGATAATCCTTGTAAAACATTATGAATTCTATTGTTCACTTTCCAGAATATAGCTTAATTATGGAACGTAAGCCCCCGAATGCCCTGGTATGGCCGAGAGTGGGAAGAGTCCGCTCTCCCTCTCCAAACGCTCTCACATGGTCAAACATAAATAGCCTCTGTCAGGGAAGTTCTATTTACTGCCTTCTCACAGTGGCATTACTGTTGTTTACCGAAAGGAAGAAAAGCCAATGTACGGCGCTTTAACAGGGTTGGTGGACACGAAAAGCCCACATAGGGGAGTTAGAAAATTCTGATTCCAAACCAATGGTGAACATGGGCTCCTGTATCCTGAGGGAACAAATGGCGTATAAATCAATCGTTGTTCACCAGCTACCATGGGACTGCATCTTTTCACGATGCTCCCTTGCCTTGTGAATTAAACCTTTAGATCAAAGGCTCCGGGTGTGGCATTGTAAGAAAACCACCTGTTTCGGTTTGGGCAACTGGGCAGTATCACAGCCCTCACACAAATGAGATTTGTGTGGGGCATATGTATTCAGTGACCCTTTGTACCAATATCTATGTGTTTAAATAAATGCAACGTAAATAAATGCAAATAAATAAAACAATAACAACTACTTAGTACATTATCATTATTAGTAGTACTAGTAAATTATGATTATCAACAAGAAGAAATGGAAGACAAAAATTGAAGTTACGTATAATTTACAATGAATGAAAACAAATTTGCCGCAATTGAAATCGAGGAAGTATAGGTTGAAACCAGGAGAAAGAAAAAGTAATCAAAGAGGTTGTGCATGCTAAAAAAAAACACTTACACCACATGCATACACATCCTCATTACAAATGCAAAAACATCAGTAACTCATATGTGTACATACATAATATATATGTTGAGATGATAGGGTTCTCCCCCTCCAAAAAAAAATAAGCCAACATCAAGGAACCAAACATAACTCGGTTAATCAACACATTAGACAACTACTCTTCTATTGAATGATTAGATTTGAAAATTACATGTAAACTGAAAAACAAAACCGATGATCAAAACAAATTGACAAAAAGGGGAACATGTTGCTGTACCGACAAATGTAGACGTGTGTAGGGGGGGATGGGTTTCACATAGAAACAAAAAAAGATTATAAGATGAACAACACTATTCTACATTGTGAGTCTACATTGTAAGAAGTGAATAAGAAGAACTAAGTCAAAAAAAAAAAATAATGAAACGAAATCCAACTTCAATGTTAATTTAATTTGAAATGATCTTTTGTACAGTTGGTTCAGCAATTAAAAAGCGTAGAATATCCGATAATGAAACAATACCTAATACTTTATTATCATTGACAACTACTAAACGATGTACCTAAAAAAGAAAGAAAAATTACAGTAAGAAGATATATATAAGATGGTTAATAAGTAAAGTTGAATTATAATATGATTGAAGTTCAATCTAAACGAAAAGGTAATGATGGTGGAGTTCACTACTATATCGATTCTGATCCCAAACTTCTAGGATCCATCACATCGTTAATACTTCATTACATGGAACCAGTCAAAGAGAACGTGAAAACTCCAATGTCTATACACTACTGTTAGGGTATATGATAGTGAAGTTACAAAGATGTGAGCATCAACAACCCCAAGATTATAGGTCTTATGAGCGTACACTTAAACTTTAGACTAGAGCGCTGGCATCTAAGGATGAAAGCGTGAGTCAATTGAAGCTAGACCACAAGGGAAAACCTGGAAGCACCGTCCTATTGTGGTGAACGGTTGTTCAACTTCGTGGATTGGTTGGAGTTATACATAAACACCGTTGGATGCCGGTTCAGTGATCTATCGGTTAAGTGCTCTGGCGCGAGACTGGTAGGTCCTGGGTTCGAATCTCGCGAGGCAAGATCGTGTATGCGCATTGCTCAGTAGTCCAACAATAAGACAAAACGACCGTCAAGTGTTTCCAGGTTTTCCCTGGTTGTCTAGCTTCAATTTACTCACGCTTTCAACTACGAAAATACTCCACAAAGCCCCTTCTCATAATGATCTAAGGATGAATCTAATCTAATCATTTCTATAATCCCACTATACTAATAATAATCACGTGTCCAATAGCGACTGGCTTCAAGTTGCAATTTCCAGAGTTCTAAAGAGAAGCTGTAATCCGTAGGGTTCAAACATGTCGGGCCTAAGACAGTTATCTACCGCCGACAACTGGAAGCCGAAGAGCGAGATTGCAAAGTGAATGAAGTTAGATATATCACCATTGATTGCTTTAAGTTACCGCGTAGATTTAGTCTGGTTTTATTAGAAGTGACTAGAAAATCGTATCAAACGTTGAATTAACAAGACTTATCACGTACTGGTCCAGATGTCAAACGTTGTCAATTCTGGTTGGTTCAGTGAACATCGATTCGTGATTCAGGTTACGAAAATTCTACAACCTCCACAAACGCTCTACACCTGCAAAGATATATTTATAAAGCTTCTATTTTCCTCATAGTTGCATACGGATTAATAATGATTAGTTATAATCAACAGAGGATCTACAGCACAAGTACAAGTATGCATGTCGTCAATATATAAACATTTTGTACATTTTCAACTCCGCCTATAGCTCATCTGGGGGCTACTGCCGGTCCCAAGCCGATGCAGATGTAAAGGCGCGGATCAGCAAAGCGAGAGCATATTTGCAACTGAAGAACATCAGTAACTAAAAACTATTGCCAATCAACACCAAGATCACAATTTTCAATACAAATGTCAAGACAGTTCTACTGTATGGGGCGGAAACGTGGAGAACTACAAAAGCCATCATCCAGAAGATACAGGTATTTATTAACAGTTGCCTATGCAAGATACTTCGGATCCGTTGGCCAGACACTATCAGCAACAACCTACTGTGGGAGACAACAAAACAGATTCCACCCAGTGGAGGAAATCAGGAAGACCTGGAAGTGGATTGGGCACACTTTAAAGAAATAGCCCAACTGCGTCACAAGACAAGCCTTCACATGGAATCTTGAAGGTCAAAGGAGAAGAGGAAGAACAAAGAACACATTATGCCGTGAAATGGAGACAGACGTGAGAAGAATGAACAATAATTGGCTAGAACTAGAAAGGAAGGCCCAGGACAGAGTGGGTTGGAGAAAGCTGGTCGGCGGCCTATGCTTCATTGGGATTAACAGGCGTAAGTAAGTATATATTTTAGCATGGTAACCTGAAATTATCAAGGAGTTTAGATAATAATGATGAGACATTCACTACAAACTATGAAAGGTAAATCTTTACAAATACCATTAATAAATATTATACTCATTGTACAAGATGTTATACAACTTGACTCAACAGTCTAATGGGAAATGCTACATCATCTGAAGTGGTGAATAAACATAAAAACACTGCAATGTATTTATGTATTCAATTGACGTATTCAAGTTAGTTACTTAGAAATGACTTTCTCATCCATTTAAAAACAAAAAAATGATAAGCAGGGATGTATAGTGGCTAGCAGTGGAATCTAGGATGCACGTTTCGTCCTATTTGGGACTCGTCAGCTGGATGCACCTGCATCTCAGAGTTGATGTTCACTCTGGGACTCGAACCCAGTACCCGTTATCCACTCGGCCACTGAGTCCTGATAGCCACTTGCTTGTGCGATGGTGTGAAGTTTGAATTCAAATAACAATACTAAATGAAAAAAATGATAGTTAGTTGTTAAACAAACTAAGAATCCGGTATCAACTTACACCAGCATCGACAATTCTATTCACAATCACTTCCAAAGTATCATCTAACTGACATGTTGCAACACCTTGAAATTTCTACGTAAAAATGATAAGAAAAATAAAGAATTAGCTTTTATTAAAAGGGAAACAATAAATTAAAACAAGGACTGTGTTTGTGTGTGTGGTTGTGTCGAAACCAACCTCAAAGTGTGTGTACACGCGTGATAAGAAGTAGTGGAAACAACTGAATTCTTTTAAGTTTATAAATATGAAGAAGCTTAAGAAAACCCGCTAGTTGGCCTGTGTTACACTGGTTCAGTACCATTGCCTACTTTGATGAGCGACGGTGGATTTTGGGAGTGTAAATTGTAAGAAATTTAAAGGAGGGTCAAACTAAAATTTGTGAGGTGAAGATTATGTGGTTAGGGTTCATGAAGTGATCGTGATCAACAGTTGGAAATTCTAAGTGATCTAGATCAAAATCAACTGAAATGGCCAATCAAAAACGATGAAGGAGGCCTGTTTGAATATCTGGGTCACTTGTTCCTGCCATCTAAATATTTCAACAAGTTATCTGTTTCCTTGTTGGTTTAAACGTATCATCATTATGTCAATTAGTTGCATAACATATTCTGATGCTGATATGCTTGAACTAAATCGATTTCGCGGTAACGAACGAAGGTCAATGACACGATAAGCTAATCTAATCTATTGTCCCAGGCCCCGCTAACTAGATGAAGTAGTTCAAGGCAAAGTAGGGGAATATATATTCCGTAAACAAGTCATAAGGGGAAAAACTCAAACGTATATATACAACAACAAATTGTCCTTGGGCATCATTATAAAATAGCACACTCAAAGAAACAATGAACCAATAGCGTTTAAGATAGTTTACAAGTGGGAATTATGACGTGAAGGTAAAAAGAGAGCTTTTGGCGCAAAAACAGCTAAATACAAATTTTCAAAATAAAATTACAAATTTAAGCCATTTATCAAGTAAGTTCTGGGGATTTGACGTCCCCAACAGGTTCGTCTTTGAAAAGTTTACGATCTTTTGCTGTACAAGTTACAAAAATGTACAATCGGAGACCTCGTAGTAACTGGCAATATGCATTGAAAACAATGAATATTATTCAGATGTCGATTCCTGAAATAGTAATATCTAACTAGCGACCACTCAATACTTATCTTCAATATTGATTAAGAAATAAGAAAAGGAAACTTGTTGAAATACTTGGTATTAAGAATTCTATAATGTACCAAATATATAATATTGAATATAGCTAAGAAATAAGAGAAAGTATACTGCACTGATGCCCTTCAAGAACTATAAAATGACCTTGAGGGAAACTTGGATTTTTGACCAATAGAAATGTCTATAATACAAAGGTATCGGATAAAAACCCAACAAACGTTAGGCATAAGAGTTATGCTTAGTAGTACGGGTTAGGTTTACAAAGAATGAATGTACACTAAGAAAAACAGCTCATCGATTAAAAACGTCAACGAATTGGAAATACAGTTGAAAAGTCCATAAACTAGAGTTTCTAGTCTTTAATAATCACACGTTTATTGATGTCAAAAGTTTTAATAATTAAATATTATCAGAAAGGGGGTGGTTTTGTGGAAATTTTAGTGCTTTTATAGTTGAAATCATGAGTCAATTGAAGCTAGACTACCATGGAAAACCTGGAAGCACTGGACAGCTGTTTCGTCCTATTGCACGACTTCTAAGCAGTGTGCATCCACGATATCACCTCGCGAGATTCGAACACAGGACCTATCAGTCTTGTGCGCGAACGCTTAACTTTTAGTGACTGTCTTCAAGAGGTATTTTCTAGAGTTCTAGTTAGAAGCAGTGACCAGTGAAGTTCAACCAAGTCTGTTGTAAGATAGTAATTCACTGAAGACAATAGTGTATATGTCGTTCAATTTCATGGATTAGTTGAAGTTAAATATTAACACCATTGGATGCCCGCTCAGTGATCTAGAGGTTAATTGTTCACGTGCAAGACCGATAGGTCCTGGTTTCGAATCCCTTGAGATGAGATCATGAATGTGCACTACTGAGGAGTTCATGGTAGTCTAGCTTCAATTGACTCATGATCTCAACTATTATAATCAATCATTTTGTGTTGTTTTAATCAATCAATTTAGTTGAATAATTATACATCAATAAAATACAAAATAATAACCATAATAATAAAAATTCAGTAAACAACAACAGCACGCACCCACACACATACACACACACACAAAGAAAAAGAAAAACTAAAAACCATGGTATATCAATCAATAAATGTAGATACATAAAAGAAAAATCAATTTGTACTAATAAGATAATACTAAATAGTTTCTATGAATGATGTAATCATTATTATTATTATTATTATTATTATTATTATTATTATTATTATTATTATTATTATGTGTATGTATGAATGAACAGAAGTACTTTTTATTATTGGAACCAAAATTGAACATTGAATAACAAAAGATAAACAATACATAAAGTTTGTTTAAAGTTAATGATGATTCATTTATTTATATTTTAAAGATGAATGATGCAATATCATAATATCATGTTATATATTTACTTACAACTGTTAACCCTCGTCGAGGAGCATAGGCCGTACATCAGTATTCTATATCCAACTCTGTTATGGGCAATCCTTTACAGTTAGTTACAGTTAACATTCATCCTTTTCATATCGGCTTCTATTTCCCGACGTAATGTGTTCTTTGGCCTTCATCTTTTCCGCTTCCCTTCAGGATTCCAAGTTAGGGATTGAGTCGTGATGCACATTGGTGATTTCCTTAATGTATGTCCGATCCACTTCCAACGTCTTTTCCTAATTTCCTCTTCAGCTGGAAGCTGGTTTGTCCTCTCTCATAAAACGCTGTTGCTGATGGTATACGGCCAGCGAATGTAGAGTATTTTACGTAAGCAACTGTTTATAAATACTTCTAACATCTTGACGATGGATGTAGTAGTTCTCCACGTTTCAACTCCGTACAGTAGAACAGACACTCTTGACGTTCGTATTGAAGATTCTCACTTTGATATTGATTGACAGTTGTTTTGAGTTCCATATGTTCTTTAATTGTAGGAATGATATCCTTGCTTTTCTAATCCTCCCCTTTATATTTGCATCAGATCCTCCTTGTTTATCAATCATGCTTCCTAGGTACGTGAATGTTTCCACCGCTTCCAGGGTTTCGCTATCAGGTGTGATTGGCTTGGCATCATGTTATATATGATAATGATAAACATGTAATCAAAAGATTTATAATTCCCTAAAGTATATTGTTCGAATATTTTTTCTGGTTAGCGTTTTTTAGCGAGTTATTTTTTTACGAAATGGGGTCACTAACCTTATGCCCGACCTTTTTCGTTTATCCGGGCTTGGGATCGGCAATAGCCCCCGGAGAGGCTACAGACAGAAGAAAGGCCCACGACAGAGTGGGTTGGAGAATGCTAGTCGGTGGCCTATGTTCCATTGGGGGTAACAGGAGTAAGTAAGTAAAGTATATTATATCCAAAAGTCTCCATTACTGTTTTTATTCGTTTTGATAGATATTAGAGATTCGAATTTAGTACTTTTTTTCATTCATTTGACATATCAGATTGTAATACATATAAGATATGTATAGACTATACATATATGGATTCCAGTCAAATTGATTATCCCATTTATCAATAATGAATACTTCATAGAGTTCATCTAGTAAAGGTTTTTTATTTTCATTATGGAGATACATATTGAAAAATAGAGAAAATGGTGGTTGGAGGTGGTCAACAGGAAACCGTGGACTCGGGTTTCGTGCTACTTGGCACTCGTCAGCAAGGTGTACCTGTAATCTTGAGGGAAATGGTGCTCCCTGTTACGCATATCATTGATCACCGCCCAGTGATCAATCAATCGTGAAAAATAGAAAAGATAACAACAACTTGTTTTTCTTCATTTGATTTGTAGATTTATAATCGATTTGACGACATCCCAATATCTTTTGGTAATCATGATAATCTTATTAGGGTACTACAAAAACTAAAAAATATGAACCGAATTAAATTCTCTTACTCAATGATATTATAATTATCAGAAGGGGGTTTTGTGGAGATTTTTGTAATTTTATAGATGAGATCATGAGTCTATGGTGAAATACTTGCAAATACATATTTTCTACTTGTAAAGGCTTAATTTCAAAGCTATAACATAATGTTATGTAAAATCCTGCATAGTATATTCCCCCACCCCTCAGTAGTTAGGAGACAGAAATTTCATGTATGTCATAGTCAGTGTAGATTAATAAAGGCCGGGATGATGAATAAAGAGAGATCACTTACGGGAGTAAGATAAATTTGATTTAAAATCAAAGGTGTGCATAGGCCCCAGGACCCTGAAAGAATGAATGGAGTACAAACCTACTCTGGCCAGTGACTACCATAGGACTAGATCTCCTTAATTATACCTAGTGGATTAAACTCTTAAATCAAAGACACACCGGTAAGTTATTCAGCCCAAGCACAACTACAATGGTCAATACTCTACCACTCCTCACTAATAACTATAGCCAAATGAATAGAGGAAATTTCTTTACCTCTTCAAGACCAAATTTCAACAACTGAAAAGCATGACTTAATTCAAAAATATCTATACAAAAGGCATGGATATTTTGGTCAGAAAAGCAATGGATAATGATCGATGAATCCCAATGATTCAATTACCAGACATTTATATATATATATATGGGCGTAACCGGGAGTTCATACTATACAACAATGCTAATATCTATCCTTATTCAAATTACAACCCATATTAATAAAATACCTTAAGAGAGAATAACATTATAATCTAGTGTCTTATGGAAAAGAGAACACATATAGAATAACAATACTACTAATAATGAATTTATTCAATCTTAAGCCAAATGTTAGAATACCTTCATATATGTATTATCAAATGAGTCAATCTTATTTTTCTCTGTACACTTCTCATTATATTACTTTTTTACTCTTTTTATATTTAAGTAATTATCTTTTAGTAATAGTTGATATTGTAAGCAAAGATGGATAGTGGCTAGTAGTGGAATCC